AGTATTAAAGAAGAAGTAGTAAATAGCATAAGGCAGCCTTTACCTGAGTTGCTGTCATTTCAGTATTTAATAAAGTAAAATTTTCATTTGTTCATTACTTATAAGATAACATTAAGGTTACAAATGAAAGATGGCAATTTGGCCCACCCAGCCTGTTTGGATGCTAGTATTTAAGTGATGTGAGGATCTCAGCCACCTGTGTCTCTATTTGAAAAATAAATAAGAGAATCAACTAGAGAATCAACGTGGATGTACTGTACAGTATCACTCTTTCCAGATTCCCACAGCTCCCTGTGTAAAATGTTGTCTCAGTTTTAAACATAGTTCCCTAAAGCTGTTCTCCATTTTTTGTTTCACTGTTGATTCTTAAGAAGTCCAGAACTAATACCTTTGAGGATTTTGTATGCTTGAATTAGGTCCCTTTATAGTCTCTGTCCCTGACTAAATACGGTCAGCGAAGGACATTCCTTTAAGCCCAGGAGTGTATCTGATATTTTTATCTCTACATATTCCAGAGGAATTTTTATATTGTAATAGAGTAAACACAGTTCTACACAGCATTCTAAATTAAGTCTTAGTAGGTAATTGTAAGGTTTCAAATATATCTTGAATTGAAGCCTGCCCTTAAGTGTAAATCCTAACATTGTTTGCTTTTGAGTTGCTTCTCTCCTAGATGAAAATGCGGTCATCTTAAACACCTGTTTTTCATAAACCAATTGGGCCACGATTTTCTAAGCCTTGACTCACTTTAGGGGGAATTCACTTTGGTGCCATAAGGAGAATACCTTTGAAATGTTCTTGAACATTCGCTACTGATTCCAAGCTACCCAGCCATGTTGATGATGCTGATAACATTTCATTTCTCACAACAAAATGATCCGAGTATCTCATCAAACCTCACTGGAAGCAAACAAAAAAGCTGCAATTTTTTACTTTGTTCTTATATAACTACTCTATCTCATTGTACTTATCATAAAACTTCATGCCATCGTACTGTACTTTTCATAAATCGTTATATTTTATTTTTAGGTTCTGCCTGTACAGTTTCAAAATATAATTCAAAGAATACCATGTTATGTTTACAGTCCCCTAACAGTACTCTGACACTTTTCCCTGCTCTGTCTTGATTTTTCACAAAAATTAGATCAGTACTGGCTTTCTGTTTTATAGGTGTAAAGATGTCATTAGTGAGGTTGACCATTTCAGGTTCAGGTGCTGCTGTTAGGAAAGTTCCGCTCATGATATCCACTTCTTTTAAAATATTATCGATAAATGATTAAAGATTTATTTGAGCTAAATCATTTGGTGTCATTGGAAAAAAGTCTTTATATTCTAATATGCATCAGATGCTAATTCTGAACATTATCACTGAACATCACATCAGTACTCGCAATTACTAGCACCCCTTGTGCTAGTAATACTTAATACTTAATACTTCCTTGGAAGTCAGTATTAGAACCTGCTAGTGACAGGTCAGCTTTTACAGTGAAGTGTGGCAATGGCATAGTTATGATGTTCCATTATGTTGGATAAGGGTTAATGTTTTCTTTTAATTACAAACAGTAATCAGGCACTAATTACCAACAGTAACAAATAGCTCATGCTCTAAATGACTATCATAAAAGAGGCTTCAGGAAGGTCTGAAAACCTTTTCTATTAACGATAGAGAATTCTTCATTTCTGGATCCTAGCAACTCATAATAACTACTGTAGCTGCATGTCTCAAATATTATTTATGATTCATGATCCACAAAATGGCTGGGCGATTGCAAAACTTTGCATTCACTACAATTTGCAAATACCAAATATGGTATCTATGGCTGTGGGATTTTGTAGGTTGGAGACTTCTGATATTCACTCTGGTAAACTGCAGTCAACGTTTGGGAATCAAACTTTGGATGCTGTCTTAGACCTGATGTGAAATAGCACTTTGGGACACCCCTGAGAGTTTATTTCACTTACAGGCTTTCTTCCTGTGGTATCAAGAACTGCTATAACCATCAACTTAATCTACTCTCTGCCTCTGTGCTCAAACTCACATGATAATGATGCACCATCTGCCTTTATTTACCCTCTTTATGTACACATTCACCATATTTTTTCCAATTACATCTTCAGCAGTCACTGGGATAATTTCTCTATGATTTAGATTTACTATTAATACTTTTAAGTGGATTAGGAGAACACAAAAAATGTCAGTTTAAAGGCAACATATTTGTCATGGAGGGGACCTGAGGCACTTATTTATGAGAATGTCTGGTGACATCTAAGTAATATTTGATGAGCCCATAAGAGCACCTGTCATATCAGGGACAGTGATTTTTAAAGTCAAACTTTGCAACAGCTGAGAATTGAATTTGACAGATTTCTGTGTGAAAATCTAACTCCAGGCTTTAAGGTCCACGATTAAAGCAAAGGCAAAGGCTTAAGTAATTGTTTAAGAAAGCAACCTTTCAAAGTGTGTTTGAAGTTGCTCATGCATTTTTAAGTATTAAATAGGTTTTCTGCTTTCGTGGTATATCTTTGTTCTCTGTCGCTTTCAGATGAAGACCTTTGCCATCAAGGAAACAAAACTGATATTTAGGCTTTAAATATCAAGGGCACTGGACAGTGAGTAACTGTGGTCCAAATCAAATATAAGTTAATTAAGTGCCCAGTTTTTCTTCCTAATTTTTGTTTTCTTCCTAGATTCTGGTGATGTAACAATTACAGGTGATGTAAAGTCAGTAGGAGTAAAAGTCAGGCTCTATTCCAACAAAATGTGACTGCCTGAAGGAATTTCCCTAGGACACCCTAGCCTAATCAGAACTGGGCTTAATGTGGTCACCCTATCCACTTCCCCCACAGGGCTTCCTGCTCTGCCAAAACACTATCCCAGAGAGATTCCTTCCTGGCCAAAGAGGAAGCCTGTTATAACTGACAACTTGATTGTCATGGATAAGAGTTTGCACACGCTCGTTAGCTTTTGTGGCAGCTACAAATGTAATTTTCAGTCCTTTTAAAATAAAAAAATAAGTATATCAAACTCATAAAGATATTTACTAAGTTAAAGGTTCACAGCCTGTGAGTGTGTGAATATGTGGCAATCTTTATGGTTTGTTGGGACTTCAGTCTCACTAGTAGGTACTCTATGACTTCTGGTCTCTACTTTTGGCCTCAATGCACTCTATGAGTTTCTGGCCTGGTGGAAATTTTAAGTCTTGCCGCTTGCAAATATCATTGTACAGCAAACAGAGCTTTGAGTTTTTTCTCTATGAAAGGAAGCATCCATACTGTTCAGTACATGAGTACATCTTACATTTATTACACAAAAGCAAGAAATAAGGCTTATGGTCAAAAGGTACAATAAATATGAAACTATAAAAGTAAAAAAACAACTATAGTGACTTACACTACTTTTTCAAGAATTGAGAAAGTTCTGGAAACAGGGCCTAAATGAAATATGTATAGGTTACAGAGAACGTAGAATGTATTGTAATTGCATCCTTGAAATACATTATATATGTGTTTAAGTGAATTCCAAGGGAATGGCAGTAGAATATTGTGGCACTATGGATTTTGCAAAAGGTATTTTATAGATGAAATAGAAAAGTTGTAGCTAAAACTCAGCCTAGCATCTTTGTTGTGTATTTCAGGTATATGAAAGTATTGTGTCTGAACTCACCTTCTATTGATCACATGGTGCTCAAGCAGCTAGCTCAGCTGACAGAGTAATCTTCAAATTGGAACAGATTGCTGTCTTCTGTTGCACTTATTCGTGAGTAGCATTAACACTGGCACACTTAGCAGCTAGGCAGCAGTATGATGTGGTGGTTAGTGAGAGCTCTGGACTTGTAACTGGAAGTTTGTTCAAATCCCAGGTGGTATACTGTTGTTGTGGCCTTGCGCAAGGTTCTCCATTGCGATTGTCTTTGTAAAATAACATAAGAACAATTAGAATTATTACAATCAGCAGGAGGCACTTTGGCCCAGGCCTAAATTGGGTAGTTAGTATGGAATCCAATTTAATTAATTAAGTTTATTAATAAAAATACTCATTATACATTTATCAAAGAATACGACCCCAGAGTGTGTACTTTTTATGACAACTGTAACATGGTATATTTTAATTGACACCTTAAATGACTATTTGTGACAAAATATTTCATTTGCATATGAAAGGTGTAGGAAGAAGAACACAAACCAACAGTGTTTAGTTTCCAGTTTTTAAAAGGGGCCTGTCTTGTCAATACACCATATGATCACCAAAAATTACAAAATTTGCTCAGTTTTATAGTGGAGCCCGAAGCTAATACACTTATATAAGCTAATATTAATCCTTTGTAAGAAATGAATTTACTGTGTTTAAATAAGACTGAGCGCTAGCAGGTTGATTTATTGTTCTGCAGAAACATCTTGAGAATCATGGAATTGAAGAAAAACAATTTGATGTCACATTTACTCCTACTGCTGCTATCACTACCTTTGCTACTATTGTAAAACGTATGACTAGTTTTTCTATTACTTTTTAAAAAATAATTAAGTATATTGATACAGTTAATTTAGATAGCCATGATTTGTTCACTTTTAAACTGCAGTATTGAGTCATTTCAGGATACTTGAATGTAAAACCTATGGATTTTTTTTCTCCTATATGTTCAGGTCCCATGGATATTTATTCAAAGGCCATGTTTAAAAAGATATGTGAAGTGCTCAAGCAGGTGTTAATTTCACAGTAACTGGGCAGAGATTTCCGTCTGACTGGTCAATTTTGTGTGTGACAGGTATTGGAAATTTGATGCAGTCATTTTTTCACTATTTTCCTTTTTTTTTAACCTCAGATGTCCCTTGTTTAATTTACATTTTTATCAATTGCTTTTGGAACAGTAGGGCGGTTTGTTTCCTTCAAGACTGCAGTGTACTACAGATATCCCTGAATATATTTCTTTGTTTGATTTGCTTTTCATTTCTGATGTGTCTTTTCATTGTTTGTTTGTTTTTTTCCGGTTGTTTCCTTGAAGGTTCCTCACTCCTCCTTGGTTCCTGTGAGGAGGTCAGCAAAAGGCCGGGTCTTTCCACTTCGCTCAGCCGGCCCCCGATGACTGAATCTCTTGATTCAGCAGAGCAGGCTGACCTCTCTGCTCTCGAGCCAGATGCCTCCAACATCCCAGGGTTCCTCACTGGTTCTCAGGAGTCTGGCTTCTCCAGTGAGGAGAATGAAGACCCTAGGGAGTCTCAGCCCCAGTACTTCTGGGATGAAGGAGAAGGAGGTGAGATGAATAACACCAGCTTGGATCCTGATTCCCAGGAAGGTATGGTATGCCATTTCATTGCTTCTCAAACAGTGAAAGGTGCTTTCAAAAAGTTTTTTGCTAGTGAAAACTTGTTCTTCAGAGCTTGTGCCTGAAATATATACTGGTAGGCCAAGTGGCTTCTGGAAAAAATGGCACTAGTGTGAGTGTGGGTTTGTATCTGTGTGTTCCCTGTGATGGACACGTTGACCAATCCAGGTTCTGTCCTGGCTTGTTCCCATTGCCTGCTGGCTGCGACCATGCATTGAACAAAACATTTAGAAAATGGATGAATGCTTAAAAGTGCAAGTGTAAAAACAGATTATTATCAAATATGTTAAAAAGAAATTGTTAAATATGTTAAAAAGAAATGATTTTGTCTGTGATTTAATGGTCGGTTGGCTACTTCATGGCAATAGTCTTAGAAAATAAATCTCAGAAAGTGAAACTCTTAAAGCTCCAACACCAGCATTTGTTCACTTTTAAGATAGACTTAAACGCAAAGGGATACAAAGAGTTTTGCTTGTGTCCATGAGCAGTCGTGCACTTCATTGTAATTCCTGAGACAGGCATATTTACATATTTATAAGCCATTCACAGTTACCCCTTGGAACACAATAATTTGGATATGTGAGATGAAGCATAAAAGTGCTAATGAAAACACATTAAATTGTATTTACTCATACTTTCTGCATAGTGTGGAAGCGCATCGAAGCAGAAGTTTGGAAAGAACTACCATAGCAAAATTAAATCAAACAATAGCTAAGTCTAACATGACTGAAACACATGAATCTTGTTTTCAGCTGAAACAGCGTTTAAGGAATGAAAGGAGCCCAGTGTATTTTGATGAATCCCCTTTTCTACACAATAGTTCTGTTTTAACATAATAAAGAACAAAATAATTAAAAATCTGTATGCAAATCCCCCTCGCTACACCAAAGTGGGTTTAAAACACCAAGCGAATTTGTAACCTCTTGCCAAAATGAAATTGTTTTCAAACAGATTATTCACAGCAATCCGCTAGGTGCTGTCAAAATGCCACCAATTTGCTGACAAACCAGGGAATAGGCAGCTCTAACAGGAGAGATGGCACTGCTCCCTGGAATGTGAAACAGAAATTAAGGTGGAGAAGACAAATTGAAGAGCTTTTCGGTTTCTTTAGGTCACATTGAAATTCAGCTCACTTGGACTCAAGCCACGTTTATTATTTTTAAAGCTAATCATCCTAGTTTGATATGTAGAATTGACGTGACTCCTTTTTTTTTAGTGTTCAGGGTGGCAGAAGGCTGGAGGGGAGAATGGATTCATAACATTTGGTCATTAGTGCTGGACAAGCATGCATCAGAGATAAATACTGAACGTTTCAGTCATGAGCAAGGAAGGAGACTGTAAAAATGAATGCATGAAAATGAAATGCTGAGTAATTGAAAAATGAGTGAAATGCAGTAGCACATCGTTTGCAGTGTGTTAGATGAAAAGAAAGAAATTAGTACAATTCTGTATTGCATTAAAATGGCCGTGACAGATCTGCTTTCAAAGGCGCTTTTGCAGTATCAGTTCTTTTGTGACCAACTCTTCACTACTGTAAACAGCAGTGTTTTAAATGTGAAATGTGAGTGATGGAAATAGATATGTAGAGGGGAACAGATGATACTCATGACAAGCAACACTATAAATGAATCGGTTTGAAGTGATTGGTAAATGTGATGCATTAGCTATTACAGAACTTCATATTGTTTGCTCATGGATAGTTTGGCTTACATTATCATGACAAGGCTTATTGGGTATAATCGATGTGAAGTAAAAATTAAATAATAAACTGAGTTTCTTCTCAGCTAAGGCAAGCAGTATTATTAAGAGTCAAATCTGGTATCATACCAAAACACAGTAGGAAACATAATAGGAGACTTTGAGGCTTTTATTTGTTGATGCTCATAATACATATATATTGTCACTCATGAGTGTAACTTAGATGTCTTTTACACAGCAGTGTACAATATGCTGTAGAAAGTCAGAAATTCCAATGCAAGTCATTGTTAACTAAACTAGTCACTTCATTCTAAATATCTTGAATTACAGCCAATTTCTTGACACCACCAGAATATTTAAACATGTTTATTTCGGTGATATAGACAGTTTGAGGGTAGCACAATTTTAAATATTTTATTTATATGTAGTAATTGTTCAATGACAGATATTCTAAAAAATATATAATTTTACATAATCATATTATTTCTAAATGTATATAACAAATAATATCGATAAATTATGTACTACAACCTCGAATCAGCCTTTCTGGAGTACATTTCCAATGATCATCATTTGACCTCTTTCCTCCTGCTCAATTACTGTCACAAGATTCTCACCCTTCTGAAAAGAAGATAGACGTTCCCAACTGTGGTGTAAAACATTGCAGTTCACACAGATGGTCCATGGAGATTAGCAACATCTGTAGTTCTTGAACCCCCACGATGTAGTGTTGGCATCCTAAGACAGTGTCTCCATTTCTATCGGGTGTAGGGCCAATTAATCTTTTGTATTTAAATTAAAGAACAATTCTGTGTGGATGGAGGAATTGAGAGCTATTTAGTTCTCCTGGGAAAAGTGTGCAGAGAGAGATGGCTTTGGCAGATGCCAGAAGGCTCAAGCACCCGTGTGATATGCTGTTAAGCCAGACTGATCAACTGCAACCTGGACTTTTGTTTCCCCATCAGTGCTAGGGCTTTAGGTGTCACCATATGGTGATGATTAATGCCTAGGTAGGCACAGCTGCCATGCTATGTTAAAATAATAGCCGCTTTGTGACAGACTTTTGTATCCTTAAGTTGAAGAACTGTGACAACAATACCCTTGAAGACACGAAACACATCGTAATTAAGCAGCTGCAGTGTACTGTATGTGTGTGTAAAATATGGATCTTTTTTTCACAGTACAGTAGTCGCCTATTTTCTTTGATTTTACTATATTATAACATTTGGTTAAAGTCTTTAATAATACATTTTTATTTTTCATTTTCAATATTATTCATTTTAACAATACAGTATTGAATCCCTATAATTATCAATATATGCAGTGCCACTTTGATCCTTCCATTTTAAGTCCGTGGTAAAGCCAAATGAAAAGTCTGCTTTCTCAAACCAATTTAGCATAGCAGACTGAAACCACTGAGATCAGCCTATTTAAATAATATCCAAGTGGAAGTACCCCAAAGTCAATGTGGAAAGCACTGAAAAATTTGGGGATCTATCATTTTAAACCGGCATTCAGGGCTTGTTAATTGTAAGTGGCTCAGAAAGGCAATTAATGGTTTCTGGCTCATGGAAAGACACTACCATGATTTGCCAGTTTCCGTCGGCAAGAGGAGTTGTTGTTAATCCACAGATTAATCAAGCTGTGGCCAGAAATGTGGTGCACCTAAATGTGTTGTCTTGAGACCCAGCCATTGGCCTTCTGAGTGGTATGTCAGGCCCTGATATTTCTAAGGCAGATTACCTCCGAGCCAGATGGATTGAATTATAGACTCACTCCTCCTAACATCTTGCGTTTGAAAAATGTTAGGGTTTGGTACTTAACACTATAGTCTCTAAACAGGATTTTGTTGGCAGAGGTCATGTCAGGATTTCTGATTAAAGAGAGCAGTGCAGAGCATCTGTATTTGTCTGTTGGCCATTATGCTCTTATTATCCCTGACGCACTTCCTTCAATAGTGCTCCTTGTTCAGAAGCTGTTTTTGCGGGAAATGGTAGTACACCTGTCTTCACCAGCCCAGATTGTTAAGAAATCATGTGTCTTCTATTTCGTATTGCAGTTGAGATCTCATTTCTTTAATTCAGCATTTAACTGTAACAGATAACATGCTAGCTTCAGCCTTTCTGAAGTTCCAGCTTTTTAACTGTATCCAGTAACATTGTTTTGGAAATTATAATAAATGTGTACCTTTATTAATGTATCACTAAATTACAAGACTGAGAGCTCAATTAAAAGAACAAAAACAAACAGGAGATAAAGAGTGTCCCCACACCAGTAAATCTACGGAGACTACTATCATCTCAGTAAGCATTTTCTCAGCATTTTGTTTTACTTTTTTTATGCTCTTTATTTTTAGGCTACAGCCCATCTTCCTTCCAGAATGTGCCACTCCAGACACCAAGTGATCTCAACTCCTCCTTTGCACCCATGGAGCCAGCTGAACCGATTGAACCCCAGCTCTCTGGTCCTTCTGCTCAGGAGCTGTGGGACCTTCAAGGCGAGTCCAGCTCCAGTCAGTCGGAACTCCACTACAGCCTGTCCACTGATCCTGGCTCCCTCTTTGAGACCACTCAGACAGAGGCCAACTCCATTACTGAGGTCTTCGATCCATGGAACCATGACCCCCACATCACTGTGTCTGTTCCTTATGAGGCTACTCACAGAGCTCACATGGATCCTGGTGCCCTGTCACCTTCAGCAGCCACCCAAGCTGACCTGGGCACATCTTCTGAGAGCCCTCCTGCAGATTATTCAGCAGTTGTTGGGGACGACTTTCTAGAAGAGGTTTCCATGGTTACAGCAGTGCACAAAGAAGCTGAGAGGAAGACCAGTGAAACCAGACTCAGTGGCACAGTTAGCAGACATGCAGTGCCCTCCACAAGCTTCACTCTGATTCCATGGCAGGGTGCACGTACTGTAACGGAAAGCACAGAGCCACACTTCATGCAGGAAGAGACCACAGTGTCCTTTGCTGGGAATGAACATGAGGAAACAGCTCTGTCTCAGGAATCAGTGCAGGTATAACAATATGCAGAAATATGGAGGCATATAGACGTTTTGTGACGGAATGCTTTTCTTCTGAATTTACAACTGCTATCACGTGACACATTCCCACATTTCCCATTTCAACATGGAAAATTTCAGATTGCACGGGCAATAGCATATATGACTGAGTTGCATGTCATTTGTCATTTACAAACAGTTCAGCCTGGATTTCATTTACATGTTCTCACCATCCAGCTGGTGCTGGTATTGTAATTAAAAACCTATTTTCCCCATACAGCACAACAGGGCATCTGTAATGCTCATGCGAGACAAAGAAAGGGAGAAATAAAACAATAAAGTCTATGAATATAAGCATGATTTAAAACACTTGATGATCTAAGAGTCCTTGGTGGACTTCAGCAGAAAATATTCAGGGGCATAAAAAGAGAAAGGTTTGTAGCAGGGCTTATAGCCCTGGTCTTTATATTCCCTGTTTTAATTAACTGAAAATTCAGCAGGAACCAGCAGCAGAAAACACTTAAGTTGCTAGGGCCACTTTTGGGAAACCCTGCACTATTGCCTGGAACAGAATGCAATTTAATTATGCTTGACATCTAGATGGAATAGACCCGCTGACACAAATTACCTTTAACGATTACTATCAGCCCGTAGCACAGCTGTGCACGGTTAAAAATAATTTTAAAGAAAGATGTCACTGGCATTTCATGGGAAGCTGGACAGATTTTTGCTCTTCACTGAAACCCCCCTACTCAGCATGCATCTTTGGTGGTATAAAGGTTAAATGGCCACAAGGGACTGAACCTTGATTTCCCCGTTTGCCACCAGTTCCCCTATTATCATCAGTGGCGCTTGCCTTAAGAATGTTTTGTTGTGTGGAGATCTGTATTCCTTGTGTATATCCTGCTACTGAAATTCATTGGAAATGGGAAGGACGCAGAGAGCTCAGGTACCCCTTTATTCCACAGTTTTTACAGTTTTGATTTACAGTTCTGTCTTATGATTTTTTTAGACGGGATCTCAAAGAAAATTGAGAAAATGAGCAAATTCCTCAAAGTAGTGACATTTACTGATATGAACATCGATGAAACAATAAAGGAATGGTATATATTGAATCTTTTCCCTAGCAGTATGTTCAGAATTTATTGCACACGAGTGTGAAATGAGTCCCTTTTACCAATATTTGTGAAGAAGACAGTGAGTCAGTCTGTTCAAGGGTGAGGGTTCAGATTTATTGCTATTTCCTTGCAGCTGTGTTGAGTGGTCGTGTGATGTTCTTCAAATGGCGGTTTCTGAAAGCAATGCCGGCAGCAACTTCAGCTTCAGCGGCATGTCGCCTTTGTCACTTTGAGGATAATCTCCTCAGTCGTCACCGCCCTGAACAACATACAGTATATGCAGCAAGTTCCAGCAGCTGTTTGTGAACGCCTGGGGAGAGTTGGCGTAACTACAGGGCAGTATCGGTATAACTTGATATCTAACAGGCTCCAATGAAACATGACTTAAGAACAAGACAAGTGCCACGCATGGAGAGAATGGCAGTGATTTAAAGCACACTTAAACAGGATTCAGGCTTTTAGACCTCCCCCTAAAAAGGCGAAGAAAATGTAGAACTTCAGTGTTCAACTTAGACTCCTGATTATTACTATAACAAAATGCTTATTGCATCTTTAATGCATAATATTACCTGATTTTTGCATTGGCCAGTCTCTTTGATATGTTTTCGTTGGAACTACTACAATCTTCTAAAATACAATCAAAAGTTATTTTTAGTATATGTTTTAAGTTTCTTTTGTAAATAAATCTGTATTCCTCATTCACAGCACGGCTTGTCACTGGAGTCCCTCCGAAATGAGGATGAAAAACATGGTTTTTAACCATGAATGGTCAATAAACCACATTCTATTACTTTAATTGGAGAATTCATGGACGATGAAGACATAAAATCTTGGAACCGTGCTGCAGTAAATGGCAAATCTCCTAAGGCATTAGGATTCAATATCTACTGATGTGATTCTTAAATATGTGGAAGCTTAAGAAGTGCATATGATAAATACCCAGGAACAAGTGATAGGTTTATTCCATGCTGAAAAGAGAAGAAAGAAAAGACAACATTTCGGCCCTGGAGCCTTCGCCAAAATGTTGTGTTTTCTTTCCTCTCTTTTCAGCATGGAATAAACCTATCACTTGTACCTTTGCAGCCTACGCATGCTGACGCTACCCACCTGATTAATACCTATATAAGCATGTTCTATTTGATGGAAATTTGGGGGGGTTACTTTTTTACTTTTTATAGATTTGATAGAAAAACTATTTTATCCTGAGAAAGCCATAGTGAGCCAGAGTCATGAAACCATCTAAAGCCCACATGAACACGGAACCTAATTCCAACTTGTGTTATCTGACTAATTTTCTGGATTGTTTTTTTCTGTATGATGTTGCAATTTCCTGAAATTTTAATGTACATTTGTCCGTTAAAAAGTAGCATAGTTTTTTTATCATTTGCATCTTTAAACACGTGTTAATTTCCTTTTTACTGTCCATTTTTATGCGAGTACTCTAAAAAACCTTTTGTCAACTAAAAACATGTACAGTATATTAGAATGATGTAAACTAAAGTCCAACTATAAATCTCAAAGCCCTGTAAAGAAAAGGGAATTATTAGGAAACAGTGTTATAAAATTGTATTGGCATTGCTTACGCTAGTAAGCAATGTTAATAATACCTTTACATTTGACACGAATGTTACAAAGTCTAATAAATCACTTATTTAAAAATTTTGTTTCAGGTTATTTGTACGGACTGGAGTGATCTTACCGGGAAAGGTTATGTCATCCTCAACATGTCGGAAAACGTTGACTGTGTAAGTTCACACTTTCACAATGATTTAGAGCTGTAACATAATTGCAGGAGCGATAACATGAGTTTCATCCAGCATTTAAGACCTTATCGTAATGCCCAGTGTTGTTTTATTATTGTTCATATGTGCTGTCACTGTTTAGGCACTTTCCAGCAGCTGAGAAAAAAAGTAATGGTGCATCTGTCGCTTGGCTCAATGTGCCTTGTCCTTTTTACCTCTGCAGATGGTGTTTTTTTTCTTGAGACAAAGTATTGTGGCTCAGCCAAGAAAAATGTCAAATGTGACATGAGGTACAGTATATGCTGTATATACACACACACTGTGGTGTCCTGGGGGTGGAACACATGGTGTGTTTTAATAAGCAAGGTCTTAGTAGGCAGAGCAGTGGGAGACAGGAGTAAAACAAACTGAAACAGATTTTTATTGTGGGTCTTTACACTTGGTGCTGCTTCTCGCTCAAACAGAACAACACCACACAAAAACCCTGTTCTTCTTTCAAGGGCTGTCCAGACGTCTTGGGCTGTTCCACTTGCTGTCTCACAATGAAATGCCCACACGTCTTGTAATCCAGATCCAGTGATGAAAAGATGTGGCTTTACTGGATGCATTTCTTTCTTTTCCCGTTGGCCTTTTCTTTCTTTTTCAGTCTCCATCTGTTTCGCATCCAGACACTGGCCTATGTTTCCTAGGTTCCCAAGGAAACCTCTTTCTCACCATTCCTTCTCTTTCATATGCTGTCATGCTCCCTTCCTCTCACACCCAGCTTAGACTCTCCACAACCCCCTTCAGTCTGACACCTCCACTCAGAATGGCTTGGCTTGCTCCAATTTGGGAAGAGCCATGTGCTAGGTTTTAAACTTTGACCCGACCTTTCCCTCAGATGGCTGAGGCATCTGGGAGTTGTAGTCTCCTATCACGTTCCCACCTACTGTAATAACCTGAGACAAATCTAATAATTGCATTGTTGTCAGGGTTGCAATAAGGTTTTTTAATAGTTTATGACTCTTACCCTGTTTAATCACAAAATTACCCTGAAGCAAAAACCCGATACTTATTTACCTAGGGTCCATTCCCCCCTCACACTGAAATCTGGAATAGCACATTGCTAAATATATTTAATCGTGCCCTGTGCATGAACATTTTTTCACCACCAAATACATACTTCAAGGTACAATGTGACATCATTGCAGAGGTGAAAATTAAGTGCTAGGATTTTTAGTCTAACTACACTGTGATGTGGAACATTATAGAGCTTAAAGGAATAATTAGCATGAATGAGAACCTGACCATTTACACTCCTATGTGTTTACTTCAAAAAGATTATTTTTTTCTAGTTCTTCCAGTATTTCATATCTAGTATGGCAATTGATGTCAGAATTCATTCTACATTTTGTTTGAAGCTTCAGAAGTATTTACATTCTAAGAAATGTATATTTTTCAGAAAGATATGAAAATAGGAATTCTAGAAGAACGCTTGAGATCAAAAATTACTTTAAACGTATCTTCTGTAGTTCCAGATTAGGTGACACATCTTGCTTAAATCTCGTTCATTGCTTGGTATGAAAAGAGTATTATATTAGTGTGATTCTTGTCACACACAATTTAGACACTTTAGACGATTATTTGTGTCTTCATACTGCTTAATTGGAAAAACTGTTACAGTACAGAGATCAGATATGTGAGTTTATTTTATCTAGTACTAGCTACTCACCTGTAGAGCTTTCATTTCTCTGTTAAAAAGTTTCCAAAAGAATTACATTGTAATTGTGTTTGCAGGATCACACTTACTACTAATTTCTGCAAATTTTAAAATATAAATCCATAATATTAGTTTCAGAAATCACTATTTAGATGTTAACACACTGTTTGGGATTGTATCTCAGTTACAGCATTTCATCGCTGATAAAAGTTTGTCGCTATGTCGCTAATTTATCATGTCTCGCCTTATAAATTTAGCCAATAGGATGCACAATTTCTCATTCCTTTTTAAATAAAAAAAAGTTCAAATACATTTTCCAGCATTTCCTTCCCTCAGTGACTGATGTCTGGCGCAATCACAACATGCATGCAAAATAAGGTCCTAGACCATTTTAAATAGCTGTGAGTAACTTGTGGCACCAGAAGATGCAGCCTTCCCATTGAGTTTGATATTTCCATGGAAACGGTGTGAAGCCATTTATTATAATTGACATGACCTTTTCAGTCGTCAAGACAACCAATGTGAATTTGAGGGCCCAATGGAAAGCTGTGTGAAAAAAATGGCTCAGTTAGGTGGATGTGCAAAGAGAATTCCAGTGGATAGGTGCTCTGTTTGAGACTTGTTCAATAATCGTTACACACGGGAACTTGATTTAGATTTTTCTAAAGTAACTTTTGGAAAAGGTCAAAATTTCCCCTTCTAATTTTGTACTTTTTCCCTGGTTTTCCTGTTCATTTCACAACATGTTAACTGGCTTATACCTGTATGCCATTAAGACTAACACGTGTGAGAAAACGCTTCAGGATGCAGTTTTCTTGTGAATGCTGATTGCTTGTGATTTTACATGTACTGGTTACTTTGGGAAACATTTTCTGGAAACATTTTGCCTTTGCGCAGTCAGGAGAGACTCTGCGCTTGAGGACTTGTGTTGGTTTTCTTCACAGAAAATAAGTGCATTCGTGGTGTGGTTCAAATCACTTTGTTGATATGTACGATGACAGACCATGTCTACTTAATGTGAACATCATGGAGTACCTTAGAATTGAAACTGTACAAAGAATAACGAACTCCTACAATACATTTCACTGCCTTATAAATAGCCTGTTTTGCAGCTGTTTTTTCGTACAGTAACTAAAGGCCATGAAGTGGACAATCAATGTTACTCTACACTGTTTAGCAGTCATAGACAGAACATAGCTAGCAAACAAGGAAACTCTTTGGGACAGACAGACTATCAATGATATTTAATCCACACAAAAATTGTACACATTTTTCAATGTCTTCTTTTCTTATTATTACACAAAACAGGGGTATAAACCTACTGAGCTGGTATAATAATTAATAAATGTGGTTCAGTAAGTGGGCTCAGTGTGTGGGTTGTGTGTGTACATCCTATCCTCATCCCTCCTTCATGTAATGTTACTTATTTCACGGCTTTGGAATTTCATAGATTTTTTGGGATGCCATTGTAGGACTTTGTGTTTTTCAGGATACATTCCGGGTGGAAAGTGGGGACAGGCTCCTGGAGATGCTGGAAAGTGCTTTCTCTAGGAAGATGAACAGCCCCCAGGGATCCTGGTTTATTTCCCTCACCAAGCCTAACCGGCAAGACAAACAGCTGTTGATGACTCTGGCCAGTGAACAAGGTAAAACCTGTTATGAAGGGTTATACACCAAATAACCTGGGCACCTTTACTCAAAGGCAGATTTAATATGAGTCACAGCTTTCCAGGCATAAGGAAAACATTCTTATGTCACTTAATCTAAATGCCAATTTCTCTGGCAAAAAAGGTTTAAACCCCCTTATCAAATGCTCTACTTTAAGCAGCAGAATGATAAAGGCCACCTGATTCACATCATCCAGTTTCCTATCTGGAGTTATAAAGCCAGTTATGGCCCTTTTCATCTGTGCCTCCAAACTGCCTGCTAGACACTCCCTAAAAAGGGCACAAGCTCCATGCACAGAGAGTAGAAAATGATCAATTAAACTGCCTGCCTCTGGTCTCAAAGTTATTTTATTTGAAACACAGGACTAAGTTAGCCTTTCTCTTAATTTTGTCATGTAAATGTCAAAAATAGCATTTTTCATAATCCCAAAAATACCAAATGTGGGAACAATTGACCAGAGAAATATTACATAAGACTGTGACTCCAATTCTGGTTTAACTTCAACATACAAAAAACCTTTACCATGCACATTTAAGACAGACAACAAGCATTTGACTTGTTCCAGTTTTCAGTTCTTGACAGCACTGTAGTTTTATTATACAGTAACACTAGGTGTCAGTGACATCTTCTGATGGGCTGCAGACTTTGATGTACTTTTTAGTTTTTTGCAAGGAATTATGCTCTGATAATTTTACCAACAACACTAAACACAAAGTATTAAAACGTTTGTTATATGTGTCTCAGATGCATAAATTTGCCAAATATTTTAGCTTAATGACCCAGTTTATAGGTCCCTAACTTTAAGATTTCAGTTAAATTTAAATTTCAGTTTTGCTTGCCCCAATGCAAAAAATGGCTTTACTTTTTCTTGCTCTAAATTAAACTTTCAAAATCTGTGATGCTTCTTCCTGGATTTGCAACTTTCAATTTTTAATTATCAGACACAACATGGGGAGTAAGGTTGACTATAGACCAGAAGGTTTCAGAAATAGTGCTATAATACCAAACACTCCCACTCCTTCAAGTTGGTGAATTACAGTTTCTTTTGTGTGTGTGCTCTGCAGGAGTTATTCCAACAAAAGAAGTGCTGTCGATGCTTGGAGAAATCAGGAGAAGTTTATATGAGGTAAAAAGGAGATATTTACATTCAAAGCCTTGATTCATTAATATGAGCACCACTGACAAACAGGGAAACTGTACTAAAACACTATATACACAAGCACAGTGTGGTCCACTACAAGATTACAGTGGACAACCCACAGTGGAAGCAGACTAAATGATTTTCCTTATCAGTGCTTCTGTGACTTCAACATTTCATCATGTCAATCTGTTCTGTGCATTGGACAGATACTGTACCAATAAACTTTTTAAGAATTTAAAACTGAGTTTTCCTCCATTCGCTAAGTTTGAAAGTTGATTCATCTTAACTATTTGTACATAATCTGTTCTTAAAAATAAACAATGCTCACATTTTTGCTTTTCAAATATCTGGAATGATCAAATTTGCCTTAATTAGTTCTGCCATTTTGTAAGCTCTGGAGATATAAGTCCCATTGTTTCAGCTACAAGTTTGCTGTAATTTCACAACATTTTTAAAAACAAAGCCTTAATTTCCTTTCATACTAGACTGCCAGGGCTACATTTCAGATACTACTGTACAGTATACTAATATATTGTAGCACAGTTTAGAAAGCTGTTGTGTTGATTGCATGTAGGTTTTTTTTAAATAACTGCAAACTATGCCAGCTTTTCTATGGTTATACTTGCACAATAATATTATATAAATGTATTTAAATGTTGTTCCTGTGATAGAGTGGCTTCAGTTCAATATAATTTTTAATTTGGTTATTGTGAAGTGCTTTGCAGAGTGCGGTTGTAGCTAAATATAAACGCTTAGTGTGCTGTAAATTAGTGTTGTTGTAAAATATCTATTCTTTGTGTCTCAGATTGGCATCCAGAACTACACCAGTGTGACTAGCTGCCAGTCCCAACCTAGTCAGACACGTAGTGACTATGGGAAACTCTTTGTGGTGCTGGTCATTATTGGGTCTGTCTGTGTGGTTATCATCGTATCCGGTCTCATCTACATCTGTTGGCAGAGGCGTCTTCCAAAGCTAAAAAACATGGTAGGCCGGATTTTTGATGAAGAATCTCTGAGTATCAAAATATTTTATTGATAGCTCACATAAAGAAATGTCCATAAATCTAAGTTTCCTTGTTTCTTAAATTTCCTACACTGTATCAGTTTAGCAAAATGCTGTGCACTGTGTGTGTGAGACGAGGGTTTGAATGAACGGATAGAGTGCAAAACCACAGGAAGTGCAAAAAAAAAGAATATTTTGGGTGAGGGGCAGCATAACAGTAATATAAGTAAATATTCAGGAATTAGGATAAAAGGGTTGTGATTAGTTTTCTGAAGGACTTGAAATGTTCTGCATTTTTGCTGGGCATACTAGTTCTGCTATTTCCAAAAGCCCATAGGTGCGTAATTATTAGAAACTTATCATTAATAAATTGTTTGGCCTTTACCTCCCTCAGTCACATGGCGAAGAGCTCCATTTTGTGGAGAACGGTTGCCACGACAACCCAACCCTGGACGTCGCAAGTGACAGCCAATCGGAGATGCAGGAGAAGAAGCCCAGTGTAAACGGGGTTGCTGTGGATGGTGGCGGTAGCTGGCATGTCTTAGTTAATAAGTCAGCGAAAGAGGATGCAGAAAACCTGGAGGAAGACACCCATCTTTAACAGGAAAGAACTAGACCACAAAGGTGATGTGTTTTAGAAGACACGTCCTTAAACTGTTCTGAAACACATCTACTTAAATAAGACTGTGAGCTTATTAGCATTTGAGCAAGTAAAATTATAATATCAGCACCATTAGAAATAAAGACTTCAACTGCTTTGCTTTGGGTGTGGGGGGAGAGAGGGGAGAAATCTGCTACTCACCTATATTTCTGAATATTCAAAATGCCAGAAAGATAGTCATCCATGGACCTGCTTCTGTCCACATTGTCAGAAGAGAGACAGGGAGCTATCAAAAGCTGAATTAGTTTTTAAAAGTTTTACTTTTTCATGGCACATTGTAGGTGTTGCATTTTTGAAACAGGATTACCACTAATGTTAGTTTATGAAACATTATGGCTCTGGTGGAATAGCTGCAATCAAAATGGACTTTTCTCCTTAGAAATACGCAGAAACGAACATTTGGATTTTGTTGTTCTTGCACTTTTGCACACATTGACAGCTTCAGGCATTTGAACTGGTAAGAATGTTTTCTGTAAATGAATTTAGAACTGAATATGAGCAGATGAGCATGGACAATGAAATAGTCTAGACTAGATGCTTGTAATCTACTACTTGTGAATGTAATCTGAAAATAATACAAATAATTTCCCATAAAATCACAAATTACTTTTAATGAAAAGAATAAGGAATTCAAAATATTTCAACGACATAATGGTAATTCGGACTGAAGAGGTTTGTACACAATTTTGCGTATTCCTCAGGACAATGTCAATATCATTGATTTGTCACCACATGATCTGAGAAACAGAAAAGTAACAGATATGGCTTAGTTTACTGAAAAGTCTGTGGTTAACTATCCAGACTTTAAAGCTGTTTTACTAATTTTGTTGAAATATTTGACTGCTAACTACAGAAAGCTTAGTAGCTCTGCCCTGTTTAGGGTGATCGATGTTACGACAGGCTATTGGCTTAGTACTGTTTTACTTAGTAGGCAGACAGTTTGGCCTAGATTTAGACTCACTGCACTTTGCTCTGACCTTCCGGGCTTCACAACTCAGAAGTGTCCACTAAGCACATACTGTACACTGCAGGATAAAAAAAAGAATCTGTGTAGATATTGACCTCAGTTAGTGTATTTCTATCTCGTTTTGGTCCTGGATAGAATTAAAACTGAATACAGAATTCATTATTTAAAAACCTGAAATTATATTTATCAGTTTTCATGTGAATCGAGTACTCCGGTTAATGTTAGAAACATTTTAAAGCGGAATGCCAATAAATGTTAGGGTGACAGTGTTGGTTATGAGACTACTGTTGGCAGAGACATTGGTAACACTGATCCACATCATTAGATGCTGGTTGCTGTTTTTGTGTTTCACTCTGAATGTGAATGGAAAACAAGACTAGAGTGGAAACTACATGAAAAAAGAAAGAAATGTATAATAAAACAGAAATTGAAATTGAACTGCTGTGTATATCAGTCATTCAAGTACATGCATTAAATTATACACTGTCGCTGTGTTTGAATAAAGAGATCTCGACAGCAGGTACACCTGTTATAAAACTGAGTAAAACATCAAAGTTTGGTTATAATTTGTACTGTACTGTTGTTGAAATGTAATTTAATCATAGTAGGAAAGCAACAGAATACAAAGTCCCAAATGCCATAAAAACAAACTATACTGAATAACAGGCAAGCGAAATAATTTTTCCAAATATTTTTTCATTGGCATGTGGAGCAGTCATTACAGACAATTTACAAACTCCTGTTATTCTTCAGGGGTGTACATGTTTAAATTAATTTAAATAAGTGGCCTGGTTTTCACATTTGGGCTGAAATGATAAACTAATGTTATCACTAAATCTGATGTGGTTTGGCTGCTAATTAGTTTATTCTATGCTTCTTTCTTATGGTACTGTTACCATATTAAACCCATTTAAGGCTATGTCAATGTTCTGAAAGCTTTTAAAATATGGCACATGATTAGAGATTCTTAAGATTTTTTTGTCAGAGCCTTTCTGAACTGCACTGATTTTCTGTAAAATGAGTAATTCACGGTAAAGCGTCATGAAAATTATCCAACAGAGAAACTATAGAAAAAGCAGATGGATTTTAAATACTCATCTAGCATAATCTAGAGCCTGAGGCCTATTAGTACATACGTTAAGCATATCTCTTTGTAAGGTAAAGTGAACAGTAATTGTAGCAAAAGATAGGGTGATGATTACAACTGGAAAAAAGTTGCTCACTTTTGAAGTGAAACTCTTAAGTTTGAAAAGCACCTTATTTTATTTAATAAATGACTTTGAATCTTTGACTTTTTGTGTGGTGGTTGTGTAAGCTTAAAACCATACACATAAAACTATACCATTTTGTAGCAATAGGAATCTTCTGTAGCATATGCCTATTGAACATCACAATTTTTAACATGCAAGATTCTTTAAGACAAACAAGGAAATACTGTCTTATTGCAGAAACCTTCTGATCAAATGTGTTACTTTAATTTTTTTTCAGAATGTAATATCACATAGTGTATTTTATTTACATAGTTTTTTTGTAAAGACTGTAGGTAGGCTTGTTTGCCTTGGTGTCTGAATCTTTTCTCCTACTGTTGACTGTTTACCAGATAGCAGGAGCTAAAGGCCATTGTCTCAAGTCTCTTGAGTTGCGTGATAGAGTAAAAGTAAGCTGTTTTTGCCTTGGACAAAAGATTGTGTTTCATTATTCAGTGTTATATTATTTCTAACTTTTTGTTAAATCCAAAGAAAAATGAGACCTTAAATAAGAGGTTCTGGGACTCCTGAGTGACTCAACCTGTAAAGCCACTCACCTGAACACTGGTTGAGGTACTATGATGTGGAGGTTGTGAGTTCTAGCTTGGGTCATGTTACCCACCCACTGTGATAGGGATTCATCAAGTGGTGGCACACAACTGGTTTGAACACCAACACATTAAGGATGGGGATTAGTCCAGTGGTTCTCAGTCATTGCTATGAGAGAACCACTCCATCCTCTGATTTGTGTTCCTGCCAGGTTCTTTATTTTTGGCAAACAGATTTCAGTTTTGAATTTGGTTTTTTAAAGTTTCTTTCAAGGGGTTTGCAATGTGCCGGTCCCTGAGTTCTAAAATTCCCCTCATTCAGGTGTTAGCAGCTGAACTGGAGCAACTGGAGAAGTAGAAATCGGGAGTGTTTTGTCATTATCATTCTTACTTGTGTCTACTTATCATAAATTGTAAATAGGTCAGAAATAAAGAAATTGCAGATCACCAAGTTGAGGAGCGACTGCATGCTCTGTATGCTGAAATTATTAGAAGTGATAACTAAAGTTGTTTTTTTAGTTAGGGTCTCTTATGATTGCAAAAAAGCCTAAACTAGCAATGGGAGCAATTGCATGAATCAATTCGTGGCAATGATTAAGGGCCCAGTTGGAACGAAAACCAGTGCACACAGTGGTCTTCCTAGGATCAGGATTGAGAACCAATGGTTTAGTCATTGGGCACTGGTATGGTGACTCCTTTCACTTTCCAGTGTAAATGGGCCTCTTCTCCAATCAGTGCTGTCGCTCCTACACCAGGACTGCGCTGTAATAAAAGATGAGAGAGACTTAAAGGTGGGGATCTGAAGGCACTTGTCTTCACTTTCTCATTCTGCTCCATAATCTTTTGGAAGGTTTGTAGGTGTGAAATTTTCACACACATGAACAATATACAATTCTCTATTCCAGATTGGGTCGAGTAAGAATAAAATAAATTATGACTTATATAAATGATATACAAAATTCTGATTCGCTCCCAAAGGAAAGAGGAGCGAACACTGAAAATAATGTGGTCGATTGTGTAAATTCGAAAGCTTTGAGTGCTGTAGATTTTCTTTTTAAATACACAGTGCTCTATGATGCCTTTTTAATGATTGCAGTTTGGTAGAGGTGCTATCCTTTAGAAATATGGTCTCGCACACACTTGCAAAGGCTTGCAGGCAAAAAAGAAGAATCTGTTGCTATGGGTTTGAACATCTTAAAATCGTTGAACTTTTGAACATGTCAAAATATTGGCATTATTCTTCTCACTGGCCAGCAGTACTTTTTGCTATAATCTTAAGTATTTATTCTTAGTAATCTTAGTGTTAATTAAAAATGTACGTGCAACATTGCATTCTTTCAGGTCTTTTTAAATTGACCCACTCTGAAGCTTGTTTAGAGTTCTATTGAATCTGTTTTACTTTACTGAAGAGTTGGCCTTGTGAAAAATTGCCACAGGGGACAAAAATAGAGAAATGTATTGCAAGAAGTGTATTTTAAAACTATATTACTGCATTCAGAATGCCTGGAATGAACGATATTTTAAAATATGTCCACCTGACACAAGAACTCCTTGTATTTGTGCAGTGTTTTTCCTACCAAAGGATCCCAAAGAGCTTTAAATAATGGTAGGGAACCCACTCCATCTTCAATTACCTCAGAAAAATAGTACCCACTGGGGTGATGTGTGACATTCTAAACACTACTGAGCAGATCAGGCGGAGAACTGAAAAATGTATTAAATGAATAGGAAATTCTTAAGAAAACCAGATTGTGCATGCTGAAAGTGTTTCAAAACCCCTGCCCCTAGAAGGAGTGCCAATGGATCTTTATTGACCCAGCAGTGAGGATCTGAGTTTAATGTCTCAACTGAATTGTTTTGAAAATTCAAGTTCACAGAGAAGAGTGCCACTTTTCCACCAACACCACTGATCACAGCAACCTGATTAGAGGTCTCCCATCCTAGTACTGACCAAGTCCAGCCTTGCTTAGCTTGTGAGATCTAGCTGCAAGGTGGTAACACTGCTGTCTTGTCTTAGTGTATTGCAGAAACATGTTAACATACAATTTGTGTATGTGTGTGAAATGTATTGAAATTTGTAAATATGTTTTGACAACTGTTTATTCAATTTAGTATGCTGGCATTTTTTTTATTTTGCAATATATATGTAACTTTGAAAATATGTTCCCCAGTATTTCTCTTCTGTATGGGTATATTAATAGACCCAGTCAAGAGTATGTTTGCACAGTTTGGGTGAACTTGCCTGTATATCTCACTGAGTTGACATTTTTCTTCTGTTTGGTTTTGGTATATTATGGAAGTGTGTCAAGAAAATTTCAGTGTTAGTACATATCTATAGTAAAATAAATGTTTTGACAAAAGTCTGTCCTGTTTTTTTTGTCTTAAATGTTAAATTATTCATAAAGTATCATGACAGCACAAACTGATTTCAGGTACCATTCTGGGTGGAGTATTTTAATTCCACTTCCATTACTAAAAACATTGTTTTATTTTTACTGCAGAGAAAACATCAAGAGATCTTGTTTCAATTGAGGGTTGTCTATCTTACATGTAGTAAATGATCAGGTGTAGAATTTAGACGTACAGTGTAGGACGTTATTTCTAGAATCAAAGGGGTAAGTGTGCATATAATGTAAATGGTGCTATTTAAATTAATAATTCCTATTGTAAAAATGAAACATGTAAAAATGCAAACTTACATATATTGACAGGCTAAAATGCCATTTAATGTCAGGCAGTACAACAGGTAGACCCACACCACCTCATGTTCTACAGTATTTAGTATATTTACAGGTTGTGATACCATTGTAGAGTTTTAAATGTACAGTGTAGTAGCAAAGTGGTAGCTCACCAAGGATATTTCTATTCACAGATTGCAGGCCAACAGTACAATGCGTTGCATCCAGTGCTGTATGTGAGACATTTGCTGAGGGGAAGGAACAAATTGCATAAAAGCAAAAGCAAAGATTTGAAAAAACGTTGGCACTTTCTAATGGGTTGGCTGAATACCAGTGACATTGTAGCTAGTTCATATACAGTATTAAAATTTAATTTTGAAACAAAAGCTTTTTATAATGCTTAACTTGTGCTTATATTCCCCTTTCACGTTGTTTATATGACAATTGCCAGTAAGCAGTTATTCAGAGAAAATAATGAATGTTAACAAGTTATGATATGAAATAATTTATACATTAATGTATATTAGTCATTAATGCGACTCCTTTGGTCCTTGATAATGATTATTACATATACAGATTAACTAATAATTTTTCTAATTTTGTAGTTGAAATTTGTGAAAAACAGCCAATCGTGAATGTGTTATATCCCTCCACACCAATAGCTAGCGCTGTGGAAAATAGCGGATCTTAAACGTCAGCTAAAAGGAGGCCCACAAACACGGTTTCCTTGTTTTGTTTACTTCCACAATCAGCTGGTAGACGAGAGATATAGGGAATTATATTTCCGATCAGTTCTATTTACTGTGCAGAATCAGCGATCTGCATTTATTCCTCCTTAACGCGGCGGTGGCTGTTTCAATGCATTTCAGAGAACTGAAATCTCCGTGGAGATGGACACAAATGATCTGTTTACGAGCTGCAGGAAGGGCGACATTTCTAGAGTGAGGTAGGTGGAGGCTGTTTGGAAGTTTGCTCAGAATTCAAATAGTCTTCAAGCAACACATTATGCCCCGCCGCCAGTGAAAGTCGAGCAGGTTTGCTTTGATGAACGTGTTCCCTTTGATATAGGCAAATGATCTGTGTTAGCTACATGCCTTTAGAAGAGGGAAACTTGAGTGGACAGATCGCACATAGCCCCACAAGCAATGCTTGGTGTGAAAGGTGTTACGAACTGCATACGTCGTAGCTGGGGGCTGCATTTTATAACTGATTTTAGATTAGTTGGACAGAATCTATTTAATATTATAATACTGTGTGATATAATATCTGTGTTATAGTTATATATTTACTTTAAAAGTAGGTATTATATTTTTAACTTTAAGTAAATTATATTTTTAACTTCGGAAGTCCAATAACCATTTAAAATTAAGCTTTCTATGCAAATATGTATTCTATACAAATATGTATGTATATCTTCTATGCAGGAGGGTAATGAAAAGAAACTATTTTAAAGTCATTTACCGAAAGCTTCTGCAAATTTTACTGCCGTCATCGATTCAGCAAATTTAGTTTTGCTTTACATGCTGGTCACGTTGCGTGTGCGCTTCCTGGATTTCTGCTGGTAAACAACACCAAACATCTGACATTGACAGATACAGCGAGAACTGACAGGCAGTGCCGAGCTCAATGTAAACACGCTAGGAACGAGCGTCAGCATGAGGCGTTTTCTGAAAACCTACTATGTCATCTGCTATCTGTAATCACCTGTTAGAGAGCGAGGGTGATGCACACTTAGTCAAAATACCATATAGTAAACACTTGGATTATAGTGCAAATTGTGTATTGCAACTGCATAACTTTTGTGTACAGTACAGTGCAGTGCTGTACAGTATTATATCAACATGCCACAGTGCAGCTGCTTGCCAAGCAACATATTAGGAACTGTCACTCTGCCTCAATGCCTCAGTGTAGGTTTAAGCCAGCAGCCATATCACCCTGCAACTCACAGCTGGCAACCCAGTGAAGCTAAGCAGGTGTGAGCCTGGTGAGTACCTGGATGAGAGACCTCCTGGGAAAAACTAAGGTTAACAGGCGCCGTCCTTCGGATGAGACATAAAACCAAGGTCCTGACTCACTGTGGTCATTAAAAATCCCAGCGCGTTTCTCGAAAAGAGTAGGGGTGTAATCCCGGTGTCCTGGCCAAGTTTCCCATTGGCCCTTACCATCATGGCCTCCTAATAACCCCCATCTATGAATTGGCTTCATTACTCTGCTCTCCTCCCTACTGAGAGCTGATGTGTGGTGAGCATTCTGGTGCACTATGGCTGCCGTCGCATCATCCAGGTGGATGCTGCACATTGGTGGTGGTGGAGGGGAGTTCCCATTACCTGTAAAGCGCTTTGAGTGGAGTGTCCAGAAAAGCGCTATATAAGTGTAAGCAATTATTATTAAGCACTGATATCTCTGGAATGCTTTAATATCTATTGTCGCTTGGATAAAAAATATCACGTGAAAAGAAAGTTTATAAACATAAAGTTTTAGCAATGCCATTTTATGCATGAATTGGTAGATGTATGGGGTGTTTACTAAAGTCTTTGTAAAATCAAAGAATATGTTTGGCTATACAAGGAAATTATATTTTTTCCAGGTATCTTGTTGAGCAGAGAGATGTTGAACTGAATGTGAGAGACAAATGGGACAGTACCCCTTTGTAAGTATTCTCTGTATTTTCTGAGCTTGTAAAGTTAAGATGCTCCAGTACATTTTAGCAGAACAACTTAAATATTCTGTTTTGACAGGTATTATGCATGTCTCTGTGGACATGAGGAACTGGTTCAGTATCTTCTGGCAAATGGTAAGAACACAAACATAAAAAAATAGTTTTTCTTCAAGTCAGAACAAAGAGTTCCCCTTAAAATTAAAATGGCTAATCCCGATTTTTTGGCACTGTTGGACATTTAGGTCACAGGTCTTAATTTTTAAGTGACTCATCCTAATGTTATTTCAGAACTTTTCCAATGTTTTTTAGAAAACATTTAGAAAAGTGAAGCCAATTTATTGAAAGTACTGAGCAAATCACAAAACGTAAACAAGCTAGATTGTCATATGTAGATATTTTTTTAATTTGTCTTAAATGAATGTTGCATGTATCTTCTTATCTCATTTCATCCATGATGCATCCATTATATTTTCTCTCCATTATCATCTGTTTAATCTCTTTTGACTTACTGTCTTATTGAAAACAGGCCCTGAAAAGATACCTCTGGTAATAAACATGACTTGACAAGTGGAGGTGAACTGATATTGCACTATCCTTCTTGTTGGACACCGGCTTTTTTACATCACCTAATCCTAATGCATGTAGAATTCTGTTGCAATTACTGTAGTTCCTTTATGTTTAAGCAGGCTGTTGTGTGACTCCAGCAGTGATGGATCTTTATTGCAGCTGCCCGAGGAATATTTGACAGCTGAAACTTTGTGGTTCTTAGCTTTACAGCTGATAAATGAGAGAATGATAACGCCTCTTTGCTCAATTCTCTGGGAGGTGTTTTGTAATAAACTTATTTCAAAACTGCACTGAACTAGACTGACCTGAAATGGTGCTTGTGCAGGCTTAGAGCAGTACTCTGGCCTTCCACCACATTACAGGGGTGTTGCAGTTATTAGGGTGCAAGATGAAAGACACTTCTGTTACCCCTTAAGTAACTGTGATGTGCCGTACTTTGGTGGTTACAAACAATGTACAGTTCTCAGATTTGTGGTGACCTTTCTCCATAGAAATCGAATTTGAAAATGCATTTTGAAAGAAGAGCTCCTGAAGTGTGCAGTCCAGTTTATTTTAACAGCTATTAAAGTCAGTAGGAAACAAGTTGCAGTTTTATTGTGAAACAAAGCTTTCAAATTTGCACAAAGTAATTTCAGTTTGAATATAACCCACTCTCCCCCACCACACAGTTTTCCTTTGTCAGTCTCCAGATAGCTTGAGTAGAGCTGTGTATCCTGTGATACATCCTACATTGGGGAGATTTAAAGTGAAATGCTGATTTATTGCAGGGGCAAAGTGTGAGGCCAACACTTTTGATGGAGAGAGATGTTTGTATGGGGCTTTGAGTGATGCCATCAGAAGGTTACTGAAGGAATACAAGCGCATCACTGCCAAAAGCATGCAGAGGGATTACTATGATGACTTCCTACAGAGGTGAAACTTTCTCCCTTGTCAAAAAATAACAATACATGGCTCACGCATGTCCCATTGAACATTTTCAACCAGAAATTGTCATTCATTTATTGTCTATAAAATACTTTTTACGGTTTAAATGTACAGCATTTTATGATTAACACTAAAACAAAATGAAAGCAGTGTACCTCTTCAATAAAACAACTAAATATTAGAAATTATCTTTATATTATTACATATTATTTTTCTAATGTATTTTTTTAAATTAAAAAAAAATACAGGAAGAACCGTTTTGGTCCGTCGACTACATTTGGTCTTAATTAAGAAAGATTTCAGAGTGCACTGCTATGGTTTTAAACCATTATAGGTAGTTTCAGTAGCTCAGGAGCAGATGTTGCCTTTGGAAAACAGTCTTTCCTTTTCTTGTAGATTGCTTGAGCAGGGTTACTACAATGACATTGTGTTCATTGTGCATGGGGAGTCCTTCAGTGCGCATCGCTGTATCCTGAGTGCACGCTCAGAGTACTTCACAGAAATGTTTGAAACCAAATGGAAGGGGAAGAATGTCATTGCCCTGAAGCACCCACTGGTAGGAATAATCAAGCAGCACGTTCACCTGTCTGTCTTTGGCAGTTTTTCGGCTTTTTCTGTCCTTTTGTCTGATACTCTTCTATCTTAGAGTCCATCTGATCTCTCTTTTTATCCATGGATCAGTTCTGTCATACATCCTTCCTTCTAAACATCTGTCATGAGTCATCTGAGATACAGTTTCTAAAGTCATTGGGCTGGCTAAGATTGAATCTTTATATTTGTCTAGTAGCAAAAGGATTGTGACAACTAGCTGCAAAGAGAAGGAATATAGAATCCATGACTGTGCTTTAAGTTTGAAGGTGTAAATAAGAAAAGTGGTCTTGCAAGGCAGTCCGCTATCATGTACAGTTATTTTAGTGGCAAAATGCTTTAATTCATATCAGCATCCTAGCTGTTGTTTTCTGTTATAATAAGAACTGTTGTGTAAATAATTGAATAATTGAAGCAAAACAACTGTTACACAGAAATAAATTGCAGCTTTTGGAAAAGTACCCTAAAGAATTTCTCTTGTTGACTCCTTGTAAAATGACCATTATCTGTAGTTCTGACTCTTGAATTTTGATTTTGAGTATTCAAAACCAAAATGTAATAGTTAATATTATATTGGGAAGTATAAACAATAAAATAAAATAAACTATAAACTGCAGCTACAGAACTCTCTCTGTAAATTATACTGTTGTTTTATTTTTCTTTTAGAATTTAATCTGTTCTAAAATCATTCTTGATTTGGTCAATGTTTTCTCCTATCCCTCTAAATGATATACTGTATCCCAACGTCAAAGTAAAAAAAAAACCTCAATATGTTTGAAACTTATGCAGTAAAGAAAATGACATTCTTGTCATGTTCATCTTTCAGATTAACCCTGCAGCTTTTGGGTCCATCCTGCAATACTTTTACACTGGTAAGACACAGACAAAACGTGATCTATGTTCAGTATGATGCTGTTACACTCTGATGACTCAGAAAGTTGCTGCATGACTTTATGAATGAATTTATTTGTTGATTATGTACTCTTTCACAGGTCGATTAGACATAGATGTGGGTTATGTGGAGGACTGCAAAAGACTTGCCAAGCAGTGCAAAATGAACGACCTAATAGAGGAACTGGAGAACAAGTGCAAACAAGTGTATGAATTTGGTAAGTAACCATCGGTGAACTACAGTGGACTAATGTCATTTTAAACTAGATAAACTAGTCATCTGGGACTGAGTGTAGAGTAGAACAGACTAGAGAAAAAGTCTTTTCAGCTTTCTAGAAAATCATGAAAAGAAGCCTAAAATGACGATTATATATGGTTGTTTTAATTATAAAGGATATATTTATTTATTTTATTTTAATTATACAGGATTATTTATTTTACATTGTCCTGTCATTTTATTACCTTTGTAAAAATTCATTGTAAGGGCAGAAGCCTTCTTGTACTATCAGTGGGCATTTTGATTTATCATTTCGGTTGGTGTTCCATGCCATTCCTTTGTGAGATTGTTTTTTATTTCGTTTTGACACAAATGGCAGATATAGTATGATAAATTCGAAAAAGTCAGCTCAACGCTGATCCACCGTGGAGCTAGTTCATAGCATAATTACAAAATACACGGGTTAAGAAAAATGTTCATTTCAAGTACAAGATACAAATTCACATTTCTTTTGTAATTAAAATAAGTGTAAATTAGAATATGTTGTAAATTTATGTCTACAATAGTAAAATACTAGTAAAGCACAAGTAGGTCTACAAGATGGATTTGAATGAAGATGGATTTCAGAATACATGGGTGAAGTGATCTGGAGTTTAGGCTTGACACTATTGTTTTGTGCATGACACAGATGCGAAATCCTGTATGTTTGTCTTACAGTGTCTTCTAAGCCTGGAACCTGTGTAAAAGTCCTTACACTGGAACCCCAGAATAACTGTCAGCTACAGGAAGACCTGGCTATATTAGCAGACTGTGCATTACCTGCTGAGCTCCGGGTAAAGAACTGCGATCCTGTCTGAATAGGGAATATGATGTATATAAATTAAATACACTACATTGTGATTTTCTCTGTACCCTAAACCATGTTGTTAACAAGTTATTTTCACCCACTGGGAGTTTTTTTTACTCTGTCCTCTGTACCTTGTGGTTGAGTGTTATTATAAAGTTTACTGCTACCAAAATACATAAAGATCTCTCTGGCAAACATTTGCAAATGGTACTATTCCATATAAAAGGATTGATTGAATCCTTTGTCAAGAGGTCTGCTAGTTTAGCCTTCGATAATGCAAAGCAGAATTTTAACTTATATTTAAAGTATGTTGGACCGTTTCTAACACAAAATTATAAAGTGCTACTGTAATCTGCTTGTTGAAACTGTAATTGATGTGCTCTTGGTGAATTACATTAACTTGAGAGCTTCACGAATGAGACAGGTTTCTGCTAGTGTAAAGGCTTACAAGGTACACAGTACCATTCCCATCAAATCTGAAAGCCCTGGTTTGGTAGTGAGAAAGGAAGAAGATGGTTTTCCCATTAAGAAGGGCATATAACTACTAGAACATTAAATTATAATATTGAAAGCAGACCCCGGGAAGCAAACCAGAACCTGCAGTGTGGGAAAGAAAGCAGGAGGTTGTTTTCATCTACTGAAGGTGAGACAGCATGCAATAAGAGAGAAAGAGAGAAGCCTGTGTGGTAACTCAGAGATTAATTTAAAAACAAAATTAAGGGAAATTAGTTTCAGTGGTAATGTGCCCCATGCTGGGTTTTTTTTTTGAATGCAACCATCTTCAACTCAACTCAACAGTTTACTAAGTACAGTATGTAGCAATTACCCAGTATATAATCCTGCTGCAGTTTAGGAAACAGTTTTCCCTTCTTTTATATGTAAAATGTATACATTAAAAGTGTAAAAAATGTTTTACATTGGTATTACATTTTGAATATAATTAGTTTTTTTTGTAACCTTTTTTAAAGGTGGGATTTGGAGAGTTGCCTTTTGACAGAACAGACAACTTTACAAGTTACCCTGACATCTGCTTCCAAGTTGACGGTTATGGTTTCCTTTGTCATAAGGTGGGTGCAGTGAGGTTTCACAGAGAATTGTGTATAATATACAGATGCATACAGCTCTCAGCTATTGCAATGAAAAAATACATTGTAATAAACAGTGTAGAAGGTGTATATTGAGTAGATTTTACCAGATTAAAAAAAAAACAATGCTTCACTGTACAGTATTGTGTATGGGATTCAGCTTGGTGACATTTCTAAAACTTTTATACATTAACCTAGTGTACTTAATTATACTTAGGTATAGTTTCATCATCCCTCACATACTGTAGACTGAAGAACCTACTCTTACATTGAGGTCTCTTTAAAAATTTCTGGCATCTGGAGGAGAAAGAAAAGTCAGCTCTCAGAAGTCCTATCAGCAAGTGCATAAACATTAAAGAAAAGAAACTTTAAAGCTATTGGAAGAAGTGAAAGATAGTTTCTTCGTTTTTCTTTATTGTCTTCTAAAATCTGGAAAAGGTGACAGTGACGTTAGGAGAATTCTGGGGGATCTGAAAGTTGTCATGGACCTGGTTGAGGCAGTGTGTTTATTGGCACATGCAGGTGTTCTTCTGTGGCCGCAGCGATTACTTCAAGGCTCTGCTGGAGGACCACTTCAGTGAGAGTGAGGTGTTACAGTCTCAGCCCTGTATCCCCGTCGTTACCCTCCACAACATCTCAGAAGACATCTTCATCCGAGTCCTCTACTACATCTACAGTGACGACACAGAGGTAGACTTCTCAGCCTGCCCTGTTCAGTTTACAAGTCACACTAATGTCTTTATGAATTGCAATACAGCACAAGTTTACATGGCCTAAAGGACCAGTTCTTGTAGCAGGAAGCAATCTCAAGAGTTCAAAGCTTCCCTGAACTGGACGCTGATCAATCCCAGGTTAACCAGCCAGTTTTTGCTGGCACTCGGTTTACATAGCTGGCTTCACTCAGAGCACCTGGTGGTAAAATACATTACACAAATAAGTGTCTGCATAGATAAAATACTGAAGCATTAACAAAGTTACATTTACTGTGAAAAGAACTGTCTTTTTTGATAATAATTTATATAGCGCTTTTCAGGACACTCCACACAAAGCACTTTACAGGTAATGGGGACTCCCCTCCACCACCACCAATGTGTAGCATCCACTTGGATAATGCCATGGCAGCTGAAGTGCAACAGAACGCTCAACACACACCAGCTATCAGTGGGGAGGAGAAGAGAGTGATGAAGCCAGATGGGGATTCGAAGATGGGGATTATTAGGAGGCCATGACTGGTAAAGACCAGGGGAAAATTTGGCCATGACGCCGGGGTAAGACCCCTTCTCTTTTTGAGAAACACCCTGGGATTTTTAATGACAACAGAAAGTCAGGACCTCAGTTTTGTGTCTCGTATGAAGGACGGCGCCTTTTTACAGTATAGTGTCCCTGTCACTATACTGGAGCATAAGGACCCACACAGACCACAGGGTGAGCGCCCACTACCCCTCTGATACCTCTTCCAGCAGCAACCTCAGCTTTCACAGGAGGTCTCCCATCCAGGTATTGACCTGACCCACACCTGCTGATCTTCAGTGGGGTGCCAGCTGTCAGTTGCAGGGTGATATGTCTGCGAGCATTTTTTTCATGTAGAGAAACATTTTTTGTTCTTTTTGTTTTGTTAAAAGCAATGCTATTACTCAGAAGGACTTGGCAGTTAGTCTTCAGTCCACAAATTTGCTTCTGTTCTCCTCAGCTGTCTCCGGAGAATGTGTATGACGTTCTGTGTGTAGCCGATATGTACCTGTTGCCGGGGTTAAAGAGGCTGTGCGGCAAAACCCTGGCTCAGACCATAAGGGAAGAGAATGTCCTCAGTATCTGGAAGACCGCCAAACTGTTCCGGCTATCACGCTTGGAGGACCAGTGCACTGAGTACATGGCCAAGATCATCGAGAAGGTATGTTGGTCGGCAAAATGTTATTTTATTGGCGTATCTATTTGTGTTTTTAAATAGAGTTTGTAAATTCATTTTAGTTTAATTTGGTGATTTGAATGAATACTTTCTTAACCACCTTCAACAGTGTAGAGGTGGCATACTTCCTCCAGAGCATTGTCCAGATAATATAATGGTTTTTGCATGGAACTGAGACATGGGACACCTGTGCTGACATTGTCTCCTTGAGTACCAGCTTGGTGAAGTCCACTGCAAAGTATAATAACACTAACCTTTGGATATGAAAAAAAAAATGTATTAAGTAAATGTTTTCAGAGTGCTGTGTTTTTTAACTTGGCAATATGTACATACCTGTGCTCCTACCATTCTCATGTAGCTTGATTCTAATTCACAGAAGCCAAATGCTGCAAACTGCATTTAATGTCAGTTTAGTCATCAGATTTGCTCATGTCATTCATGCAATGAAACTGATACATTTTATCAGTTGTATTAAATTGTATAAATTAATGAAAATTTATATAAAAAGTTAATCTACCATAGATTAAATATATGAGGATGTTTGGTGCCAACTATATTTAAGCATACAGATCTATATTCATAAGACATTTCTTATCACTTCCAGTGAAGTGATAATTCCACTTCCAATTTATATTAATGAATATAAATTTTCATTAATTTATATTCCCGTTTATACATCTGTGACAAGAAAGTACATGAAGATGTAACATAAAAGACAAGAATGGGGTTGCAATGTGACTTTCAAGTATTGCAGAATTTTAATTTATAATGGCACCTAGGCCCTTAAAACATTAGGAGTTTGTTCCTTTTCCGTAAAAGTGTGGAAAGTTCATTTAGAGTGAACTTAGCCAAGAACCTCTGTGTTTAAACCCCCAGCTTGTGGAGTCAGAAGAGTTTGCAGAGATGATAAAGGAAGATGCGAGCACAGTAGAGGCACGGCAGGAAACAGACTCCATCCCACTGGTTGATGACATTCGTTTCCACATCACCAGCAATGTGCAGACATATAGTGCCATTGAGGAGGCCAACCAGAAACTAGGGGATCTGGAGCAGTTGCTGGCAAATATTGGGCTGGAATGTTAAGTATTTCCTTGGATCTTCCTATCCTAACAAATGCTTCACTTGAAAATGCTCCCCAAATGTTTTGGGAAGCCAGTTACATCAACTCTTTCTAGGTACAAGCTGTTGCAACCACTGTCCCACACCCCTGTTGATAAAAATATGTTTTATTACTTGCACGTTTATAGAACATAAGCTTGCACACAAACAATATCTTGTCAAAGGTCACAGGCAGAAATATAAACCACTGTTCTTCATTAGATGTTCCACATCAATAGGTCAGGGCTCTCGTGTTGAAAAGTGATGTAGTTTGAATGCACAAATGTTTGATATATTTTAAAAGGAATGCATGACATGGTGTTCTTTCAGAATTATTTACCATAAGATGCAATGCACATTATTCTGCATCTTATATTGCCTTTTTTGTTATTACAGCTTTTTGAGTTGTGCTAGTCCTCGGGGTGTTTTCCCACTTTTGTATTTCTGAATTACTTTTCAGCTACAAAGTCAAATTTATTAGCTGTAATCTATGCATAGTCCTAGATAAATCCTGCAACAAGATTCTTTAAATTCAGTAACAAAATATAGTCATGTTAATTAAATTGGAAAGCTTGTGTTATATTAAAAATTAAAAAATTAAGTCTAAATTAATTACTTGAAGAAGAGGGAGTTCAATAAGAAACAAAAATTAAAACCACCTTTTTTTATTGTCATAGAGGTATAATGAACAGGCTGTATTTCTTTTTTCAGAGTACTTGAAAACTGCTTATACTTATACATCTGCTTAACTACAGTCTGTGCACTATATATTTCACTTTATGAAAAAATTAAACCATAAAAATGATTTGTCTTCTTCTTTTTAATCAGTGTCTTTCTGAATTATTGCAACCAAAAATTCACACATTTGTGCCTTTTTGTACAAAGAGTCCAGCTACGTTTCTCACTGTTGTTTGGGAATTATAAATATAAATATAAAAAGTAAAATGTTGATTTCTAATTGTTTCCATAAAGCCCAGGAAAATACTGCTGAATGTAATCTTAAACTCAGCCTCAATGACTAAAGCCATGAACCTTTAGTGGAAATGAATGTATTCTCACCATGTTACTAAATGATTTAACAGTATTTCAGATATGCTTAGTCATATAAAATAGGTTTATTTATTTGGTATTTTCCAGTTCGTCATCATCAGATCTTCAGTTGGTTTATTAAAACAAATGTGATTTATACATGCAGAAGTGAAAGCCTACAATTGTATGTAAATTAGCTGAAAATTCTTTCATTTAGCTCCTGCTACAGTTATTGACAGTACAGTTTTTATTGTGGCAAACTGAATTTGAGTGTAGAAAAGTTCTACTTGTACTAAGCATCAAACGAAATGTGCCACTAATTATGTATATTTTCAGAAGAAGTATAAATTTAAGTTTTGGATATTGAGGTTTTTGGGCATCATTCTAATTAATCATTCATGACTGACTGAAGTGGGACATGTATATATCTCACTTATCCAGCATCACAGTATCACCACATAAGCACATTGTGAGAGGTGTGGACGGCGTGTGTTAATTTAGCCTCAAACAAAAGTTACACTAAGATGCCATAAAGGCCCAGTGGCTTAATGCTACATAATAAAAGACAGGAACAACACCCACAAACAGGATAAACCAGACCAATGTCTGCTGCATATCAAAGGACAGAACCTAGAGCAAGACAGAGTAGGACAAGTAGTAATCAAAGAACAGAACAAGCACTATTCTTCTGACTGTATATAAGAGCTGGGAAACCCTTGCAGTTTGTCTGTTGTGTGGGGCAGACCCAGCTCCCGTTGTCGGACTTATTGAGCTCAATAAAATTGCTCCTCTGATGAAGAATTTCCCACAACACTGACTATAATACATTAAAGTGACTTTGTTTCATAAGCACTGATCACCGCATTAAGTAAGGGAGTTGTGGACACAACCTGTTGAATGTCACGCCTGCAGAAAATCAAAAAACAACAAACAGAAACTATTAAGCCCTAGCTATCAAGAGAGCAACACCTTTGTGCTTTAAGTCTACACACACTTGCCCTTGGGATGTTCACAGCTAGCAGCTTTATGCACCTCTGCTATATGTTTTATGATTTTTGCATGGTTTGCATTGCACCATAATAAATTTAACTGAACCTCTTCAAATGGCTCTCTAGAAAACATTAGACGACCTTTTGTAGTATTTTGTTGTATTTCGGTGTGAAATGCATTTATACCGTTATTCCTATGCCTTTAAAACACGTTCACCTGTTAGTGTGGAGAACAGGTGAGAAATCTAGAATGTAATTCCAGATATGACAGAGGATTGTGAAACACAACTCATGCCAGAGAATCTAAACTTTATTAAGAGTTGCAGTATTACATATGGTTATATCCTGAACCTTAAAAGCCAAGCATCAAAAATGAGAATGCGAGCTGCATCACAACATTGGTGAATTAATCCTTTTTATGATGTGTACATTTTTTAAATTTGATATATTATTGTCCAAAGGCTGCACAGCAAGTAAATACAATGTATTTTATGTTTACTTATAAGTAATGGATCTTTGAAACACAGAAGTCCCAATTACCATGTTAAGGGAAAAATAAATAATACATTCAGTAGTCTTGTCACATTCGTAATGCTGAGATCACTGGACTATTTATTCAAATGACATCTTTTCCATTTGGTGTAACATTAAATGCATGTATCCAGGGAATAAAACTGATTATAAAATGATAATCAGATGTTTTAAAATAAGACATTTAAAATTGGCACTGTATAGCCCATTAGTCCATAACAGTTTCTAAAAATAACAAATAATTGTCAGTATTGTATTTGTAATACATTAGCCAAACTCACAATGGTGAAATGCAGTTCCAGCACTAATGCAGTATTAAGATTGTATTACATATTAAGTTCATCAGAGGACATCTCACATTGCGTTTGAAATTACCTGTATGCATGGTAACTGTTATATAGGTAATATAATTCATAGATTATACCTGCTTATTAAAGACCTCCAATTATATTAACCATCAGCTATTGTGAAGTAAGCTTGATGTGTCAAGATTTTGATGGGATAGACTGTGCAACATCTTGTGGTAGAATTACTGTAAGACAAGGATCAATCAAAGTAATAATTCTGCACAAATATACTTTCCAGGCTAGTGAAAACTGGTGAGTAGTTATATATCAGGGATTTTTCCTCTTCAATCTTATTCGCAAAACGGTGGTGGTTTCTCCTTGCTGTGGACAAAAATAAGAAGAGAAAATGGTTCAAGTTGTGCAGTGAATAGGAATGCAGTGTTCTCCTTAGCTGACAGCGAGAAGCCTCACCTTCGTTCACAAAGAAGCGGGCTGTGTAATACGCTGCATCAACAGCCGCGGTGGTGTGGACCATGCCTGACTTCTCTATCCACTCAAACTGGCTCTTCTCCGGGTGCCACTGCACAGCGTAGAATGGGTACCGGTGTGCTGAAGAAAAGACACAAAGACAGTGGGGCCTTCTTCTAAAACTGAAACTGTATCTTCCGCAAAGCACCAGGGCCACAGTCAAATACTGGCAATAATCTGAATATCGTCAAACTTCACTTCTAACATGGTTTGCCAATTTTCTGAGTACCGGAGAAGAAACGATACAAGAGAGCAATATGTAAGAAATATCCATATTGTTTTGTTTTGTTGTGTGCAAAACCGGAAGATGGCTTCTACATACCAAAAATATATGTTCTGGGAATATTTTCAGCCCATGTGGACTTAATTTTATTGGTATATAGAACTGAAAACTGAGTAAGTGTTAACATTAAACCCTCATAACAGAAAGGATAAACTCGTGTGTGTGTAATTTACAGACACTTGGCATATAAGAACTGTTTGTTTTTACAATACCTTATAAATATGATAAAAGCCTACCCTCCATTGTGGATATGAATTCTTTATGCCCATCTGTACTTGTGGACAGGATTTTGTAGAATCTTTTCAATTTCATGTTGCGAGTGAAATTCTGCAAAAGAATCCAGGGTTGAGATAAATGATTAGTTCAGACCACTAAGTATTCTTTTCCCTAGAGATGATAAAGACAAGCCCTCTTGATTTCCTGTTCATTTTCTGGTGTTGCTGTGGCTGCCCTTCTGACAAAGTAAACTACAGAAAGACAAATTAAGCAAACATTTACCCACTTGCAGTGTGAAAAAACAGTCACATGGGACTGTAGAAGAGAAAGGCCAGACTGCAAAGAAGCCTACACAATCTCCTACATTTAGAAAAATGGTAAATGACATAGAACAGCTTTCAGCATTATGGTGTAAACAGTATTTCTTCCAGCGTTCACAGAACTGTTGCCAGATGGCACAAACTCTAAAGGTATATTGTCAGGGTTTGCCAGTTCCTGGTTTGCACCCTAAATCATCTCAATACCCTTCTTTCATTCTGATTACCAGAGCTCATTCTCTGGGTGGTGCAATAATGGTTTAGCAGGGGCTCAACTTGCTTAAACCAGCCATAGGAATGTTAAAATGAGCCTTTTGATGCCACAAACAGCCAAAGGACATCCAATACCTGCAGAGTGAGGCTCCATTTGTGGAAGTTGGAAGTGATGTTCTCTGTGGTGAGTGCGTGAAGAAGGTCTTTTGGAAAGCTCTTGAACAGTCTGCTGTTCGGACCCACTGAACAAAGAAACAATGAAGAGCTAAAATATATGTTAAATCTGAACAAGCATGACAAAAAATAAACTGGAGACTTGTTGGGAGCCGCCGAGTTCTCATTTCTCTTTTTCACTTTGACTGACACTGAAGTAATCCCACAGCGTCTCTTACAATGAAACTGAACACATCTCAAAGCTGAGTTTTGCATTTTTAAAATATTATGAGGAGTAATGATGGTTGGGGGATGATAGTAAAATGAGAAAGCAAATAGTAAGCAAATGTTTCATGCACTCATTATACCGAATAGGTTCTGGTCCATACTGTAGTTTTAAAATGTAAGTCCATTTGAAGGTTGCACAATTATATAATAAGAGTCTTCAGTTATGCCCCCATGTTCTGCCAACATGTGAGATTTTTTATGTGAGTGTTCTTAAATGAACACTGTCCTTTAATACTATCAAGTGAATAACAAAACAAGAATTTTACCAAGCCGTGACTATTTTTCCATGGGTCTGCAAATAATGAATGCAAGAGGGATGAGTTATCCTCTGTATGAAGAATCAAAGGAAGGATATCAATATGAGTTCTCACCTGAAGTGAAGGTCAGAGGCAGAGCTATGGCCTTGGTGTCAGTGAGAGTCAGGAGATTTTTGCCACTGGTGAGAACGGTCATCTCCTGGAATCCTTGACAGGTTCCCCAGATGGGAAAATAATCTGATGCATCATTTGCCTAGAAAACACCCCAGGAAATGTAAAAATGCACATCAGCCTGGCTTTTCTTGGGATTTCTTCGGTACGAGAGGAGTGAATGTCTCCCTTTCTTTATCTTTGCATAAACCCTTTTGTTTCTCACTGTCACTGTCTACATGATGTGCCACACCCACGTTCTGCCTTCTTACACAAGGATGTCTACGGGGCCATGGGATTTTTCTGTCACATTATGCACATATTCAACTTTTATTTGACTGATTGAACAATTATTTCCTTAGTTGAACACTAGTCCCTTGTCCAAAACATATAGGTATGACGTGTAGTACATACTGGATTTCAGAGTTCAGATAAGCAGGGCGAATTACAAATTAAAAAAGCATACATCATGTCAACATACTACGTGCCTGTGTACCAAAAACAAAGTTCTGTATTGTTCAGGACTCACTCCACAGAATCCCAGTGGCTGTAAAAAGTTTCTAATGCCAGGGCTTTTTTCTTCTCTCATGCTGTTGCAGGATTAAGGATTTGCATATACCTTAATTAACATCCTCACTTCATTTCACCCCTCTGAAGCTTTTTTTTACAAAAATAGTGATGAACAAAGGTTTAGTTTTCTGCCCATCCTAGAAAAATGGTTGGATTGCAAGGGATAAAAAGATAAAACAGCATCTTAAATCTAAGTATTAAATATGTTACGTACTGTATCACTGCTTGATAAATTACCTAAGATCAATTCAAATCATGATCAACTGTCCATCTGTTTAGTTGCCTGTAATGTACGGGCTGGAGGATCTCATTCAGCCATTTGTTGAAGGGTCCTAGGGGTCAGCTTTGACAGTGTGGATCTGCAGCTTATTTGACACTGATACATTTTCATACAAAGTCATCCCCCCTGTTCAAAGTCCTAAATCTTGGCTTTTACTTTATGACTGAGCAATACATAATCTATATTGTTCACCACTTTAATCTCTTCTTATGAGTGACTAGTAAGATTCACTTCGTATCATTTGTTATATATTCTGTTAAGACCCAGATTTGTTTTCTGGTTGCTCTTTTTATAAAATACTACTATCATACTGTCATACTCATTATCCATTTAGCTGGAAATTGAACATACCTTTATTGCCAAGTCATAGAATATTCTGGATACTCTGCCAAACTGGGAGTTTTCAAGATCCACATCTCCACCGGGAAGCAGTAATCTACAATAATGGAGAGTACACTTGCACTTCACACAGTTCTTATGATGTGTATATATTTTAACAGATAGAAATGGCCATCTTCAAATGTGAAAAAAAACAAACATATGAAATAAATATTAAAAAACATACCCATTTATAGAATAGAATAACTTGGTGTATTCTTCCTTTGTGCGGTTTATTCTGTGAAATGACAATGACAATGTAAAAGCATTACAAGATTTAAACAAGCTTTGTCTTTTCTTACTTTTGCACATCTTACATCTGTTCTGAATGTCATCATCTTTAGTCCCAAATCAAATCTCAGCATACATTTTAACATGGTTTCCTAGTCATGCTCAGTTCTGCCTTAAAAACCTTACCTATGTTAATATTCAAATGTTCAAATGCTTCTCTGTTTCCTTCTCTCAAGAACAAATTGTAATTGTTAGGAATCATGGAAATCTTTAATACTCATGATTTAATTTCATGTTTTAACCTTTTAATTTGGTGACATCTAAGTTTGTGTCCTTATCCTTAATGTAGCCATAAATTTGGAATGGCACAAAAAGCATTATGAAAGTGGATATTAGGCATTTACACTTATTGTGATATACACTATACTATTGTGAGAATGGATGGTACCCACAGACATTTATTCATTCAGAATTAGTTTGTTCTTGACAGAAAAAGAGGTTCTCCACCAAACTAAGTTGTTTTGGGCCGCTGAAATAAAACAGTCCAACACGGACATTGTCTGTAGTCATTAAACTACTCTGATGGAATCAGAATGTACTGTACAACTACCACGCAGGTATTTAACAGAGCCTGTAATTACTTAACTATACAGTTTCAGAAAACAAGACAAGAACGAACAAAGTTTATGTTGATTTAGTACAGTTAATGTTGCATGAATACGCCTGCAATTTCCCAGGAAACAGAGCAACTGGTGCTTTTTTTTTTCTTTCCTGTCTGCTCTACACTCCTGAGTGGAAAGATCTTACCTGAGTGGCACAACCCTGGCTCCAGCGGCCTCCAGATATTTCACATATGAAGCAGCAATGTAAGATGAACCCTGTGCGTGAGGGTCACTGGGAAGATTTTCTTGGGCTACGATCCCTGTAGAAGAAAAAAAAAAACGTCTGAAAAGCTGACTCAAAACAATTGAAGGAGTAAGAAGTATCCGTGTTGCCAGATTGTCTGAAAGGCTCGGATGCCTGTGTTGTCACTAGAATTTTGATCATGTAGCTCTACTTCTCCCCAGGACAGAACAATATGTCATAAACATTACATGAAAAGCCTTTAGCATTGCAACGTCATCGGGAATAAATATTAAGTACGGTAATATGTTTCTGTAATACATGTAGCTATGTATTTTTATCATGAATTGGTGATTGAACAGTACTGTACCTCACAATGCCATGAATGTAGACTATATATACTGTACATAAAATGTAAAGTACAGGTTTGAGTAGGAAGCTGTTAGTATATTCATATTAATACTTATATGTGGAAGCTTCTGTAAAGAAAGCTCCATAATTTCAGTTCTTACTATGTATCATAGTGTTGATGTCCATTTCTAACTCATCTAAAAGGTTTCAAAATTTGCTATCTGTAGGCAGTCCATCTCAGTTCAGGTAACTGAATTTTCAATTGCACTCCTGAATTCTGCTGACAGCTGAACCCTTTCCAAGCACCTTTGTCTAGGAATCCAGAAACCCTCCAAGAACCTGTATTCATCCTATTATTAATTTATACCAAATAAGAGAGGCACTCAGCAGTTCTAAAAATATATGAGAAAATCATATAATCAAAACTATAATTATAAACAAGTAGAAGGGAACATGGTTTATGACTATTGCATATTCTTGAAAGTTCTGATATTGGATTCTCCAGCGTAAGGTACAGTAGGTAACGTGGTAATTCAAGCAACTTCTATCCAATAAAGCAGAATAAGACAAACTTCTCTACAATGTAAAAATCTCAGCTTCAATTAAATTGTTTATTAGCTCAGTCACTTTGGACCTATTGAAATCTCCCTGAGCACAGGAATGTCTCTGGTGATCGAAAATAAAGAAACTTCTTTATGTTGGAAAATGCATATTTCTCTGATATAATGTTCAAAACAACGTCGTAGAGTCTACCCTGGGATTTAACACTTTTTCGTTTAATTCTAACAGCTATTTTTTATTTGAACGTTTCACTAAGAATCCCTTCTTCAGTTTGCCGAAAATAACGTGCCATTTTCAACATGTCACAATAATTAAAAATGTTTCCAAATACCAGAACAAATCTTCCCACGCGTATCTGATATATAAATCCGAAATTCTATGATAAGACAAAAATACATGCAAGTGTAAAATATAAAATCTTAACATCCCAACCTTTTATCAGACAAATACTTCACGCAGAATGGTATTACATAACGACTTGAAATTACACTGGCGGTAAAATACATACATTTTCTACAATTATAGATGAGCTCCAATTACTGTATACACCTGCGCATTTAAATGAATAAAAGGTGTGGACAATCGTTGGCTCCCTTACAAAAATAACCTTTGAGAATTTTTAAAACACTCAAAAAAAAACGTTTAGCAAAATAGTAGCCTGAGTGATGTCACCTTACCAATGATGGGTCTGTAATTTGGAGAAAGGCTAGAAAACGCTGGAATCGGGAGATAACAGATGACACCGACCATCACCGAAAGAACAATAGCCGAAGAGCACATGATAATTTCTGAACTGAGAGTCTTAAAAAAAAAAAACAAATAAACAACTGAAGCCCCTAATTAAATTAGGCCTGATATACAGTATATGCGTATGATATTGAACGACAAAACCGAACGACCTCACTGCGCTACCGTCTATAGCTGCTGCAAAATGCTCAGCACGCTGTCATCTGCTATTTCAAAGTAAAACTTAACCCGTTATGTCCCATTACTGTATTAACCCGTTAAGAGGCAACCTGATGTGTTGTCTTCATTGTCATTTTTTTTTCTTTTTCGTTTCACTAAAAAGTTGTCTGACGGGAGGAGTCAGCAGTCTTGTGTGGACTAATCTTGCCAGCCTTCATACAAGGAACATAAGTGGTATAGACTGAAATTGTTATTTGTGAATGAGTTGCATACAGTATTTGGGTTTATTTTCCTTCTTTGTTATATCAAACAAATGCCACCTTCTATCTAAGTTTATTTGTCCCTTAGGCCAACATTGCTGGAACTCCACAGATGAGACCACTTCTTTCATTGCTAGATGATGGCCTTCCCTAGATGATTTTATACAATATCTGCCTTCGACTTTCCACTTCCTTCTGGATTCTGCAAACTCATTATCTTTTGGTACAGTGTAGTACTGAACCTGGCCTACCATAGTTGTATCTGATTGGAGTGACAGTCATATGAGAATATTTATTGTATATAGGCTACTATGCCGTTTCATTCCTTGATAATGTCATGCAATTATATATCATGGTGTTGTAGATAAATTGTGTTTATGTGTATATCATTAAGGCAACTATGTCTATTATGTATATTGACTGCCAAAAGAAACCAATTATAACTGTAACAAATGGACAGAGGGAAATTACTTTTTTGTAGCATGCGTACTGACATTTTATTGAACAGACACATCATAGTTAAAGTCCATATAGTTTATTTTCAGAAAATAAAGTTTATTTTGATGCTTAGTACATACTTTACATAGACACTCCATGGCTCTTCTGTGGTCCTATCAGACTGCCTTACCTTGGTCATGTGTAATAGCAGTAACACACCAACAACTCCACTACATATCTGACTGAAATAAGGGGGAAATATAGGTAAACTAGATTGTGCAAGCCCAAAGCATATTTAGCAAGGTCATTGGCGTGGACATCACTACTCCTACAAACAGTAACACTGGATATTTATGGGCCATATAGTCACAACCTTTAACTGACAATTAGAAATGCCACAGTTCTACAACTCTCCAAGTAATAAATGTAAGTCTGTTTGGTCAGTAGTAAATTCAGAAGAGTTTATTTTTTAACACATGCATGACACCCCTGTAAAATTTTAAAGGTCCACATTGTGCTTCCCAGTTAAAAAATATGTTTAAATCACAAAATAGTGCAAGCTGCTTTTCACTAAACATCTCAGTGGTTGTGTTTTTTTCATAAATCCCTGAAGCAAAATTTACAGCTTGTACTGATCACTGTCAACGGAGCTAATTTACCTTGTATTTAAATTCAGCAGACTACCAGTTGATAATGTACAATATGTACAATATGAACTTGGCAATGCTTCTGTTTTTACCAGGTGTTGAATGAGAAGTTCTTATAAGATTCTTTTCAAAAGACTGGCGATGTACAGTTTATACTTTGCAATAATCAAAATTACAATATTCAAAAAGTGTGTTAATAATGCATCGCACACCTAGAGTTATGTTATACTGGTAATTAATAAAGATGAAATTACTGCTGAAAGGGGAATATTTTGTTGTAAAATAAAACTGTGAAACACTACATATACAGTAAATTCCCAGTAAAAAAAAAGAGATTTAGTATCTGTTTGAAACTTTTTTCTAAAATATTTATCTTATCTTTGAGTACCTGTGTGAAGTTAGTTATTCCTTGCTTTTTGTTCAATGTTAGTTACAAGGGACCAGTCTGTGTTAGCAAACCTATCATTGCACTGCAGTAAAGGTGGGAAAAGAAGAGAATATTTCACCATTTATTAAACAGAGAGAAAATCTTAGGAAGGTAACATTTAGTAACACTGAATTACATTTTTAGTAAACGGAGACCACCCCACGTGTACATTCTTACAAACAATGCCATATAATCCTTAAATACAAAAAGAAAACATCCCTTGAACTGTATCAGCATCTGGAAAACGTAACAATTATAATCCCAACTGGTGAAATACAACACCACCATCTTGGTCTTTGGCATCATTTAAAAAATGGAACAAAAATGTTTAAGTGCTTTTTCGTCTTTATTTCAGCTTCGTTAGCCCCGATCTTACTCGCCTCTTTCACTACGCTTATTAAAACAACTGATCGTGTCTCTACACATGTCAATAAGAGGTTCTCGCGATAAAACGCACGCTCACAAGGAATTCTGGGAAATTTGAAAGATGGCGGATGAGGTGGACCAGGTTGGGATTTTTTTTTTTACTTTACTATATATTTTTGAAATTCCTGTTTATATGTCTTGCTTGTGATCAGAGAGTGTTTTGTAATGTGATTTTGGCTTTCCGCAAAACCAGAATTCACGTCTATGTGGTGATGAGAGTCGGTAATCTGGATAATAGCCAAAACATTGCAGGAGCGGTAAAAATGAATTGAATTAGCTAGGTGTTTTTTTCTGAAATAATAAGTGGTGATATGGGATGCATATTATATAGCTTTTGGCTTTCTGTATCTTTATATGCAGAAGTGACTAAATACAATGTTCTTGTAAATCAACACAGACGTCATATTAGATTACTGAATCCTTTTAAAATTAAAAAAAACAGATACTAATGTAATTTGTATGGCTTTAGTTAGAGGCTCCAGTTTACACAATTTAAACCTTAGGTTTATCTGGACAGTGCACTGTACCGAGTTTTTGTTTTCCTGTTTCAGCAACAGACTGCCAACACTGTTGAGGAGCCTTTGGATCTCATCAGGCTTAGTCTTGATGAGCGTATCTATGTGAAAATGCGCAATGACAGAGAGCTAAGAGGAAGGCTACACGTGAGTAACACCATCTCCGTTTTAAGGCCAGTAAACGGGGAATAGCGGTTATAGTGCAATCTAAAAGATGTTAGTGGCTATATTGACAATTACGTGAATGATTTGTTTTCTAAGACTTTAATTCCATTGTGATAGTACATTTGATTCCATGCTTTAGAATTGACCATTGCTTTAGACAGATAAATTATTAAGTTGTTTGATTACTAGAATCAGCAGCTTTTCATGTTTTGTAATTAAGATTAGTTAGTGTTTTTACCACTTAGCAGAATCAAAGGTAACTCTATGTAGAAGACTTAGGAATTGTTCTGAAGAACTCAGTACTAAGGTTATGTCATATTTAAAATAGAATTGAAAATGTTCTATATTGATTTCTTTCAGGCATATGATCAGCATTTAAACATGATACTGGGAGATGTTGAAGAAACAGTAACCACGGTAGAAATTGACGAAGAAACTTATGAAGAAATTTACAAAGTGAGTTTTTTTTAATTCTTTAAATAAACTATTAATATCTTCCCCCTTTTTGCCACAAAATCAAATCTTCAGTTTTCGCTCTGACTGTACCGAACCCAAGTGACAGGAATGTAATCCTCACAGTTGGAGAAACATCTTCTTGCGTTTTCTGACATCCCAGTTAGAAATGGTGAAGCTTAAAGAAGTTTCCCTTATCAATCTCTTCTTTTTTTATTTCTCTCTGACTACTCTGGTTTGCCTGTGCTGCCTTTTTCTTTAATTACTGCTTCTTACCTTTTTTTTAAATGATTGGACCATCTCACTGAATATTGGTATAGTCTACAAAATATGTTTTCTTGACATTTTTTGTGCCACATGTCCCACTACACATTAGAGTGAAAACGTGTAATTAGTGGTTTAGTTATTCGGATTGGTGTAGGCTACATCATACGTGTACAGTTCTCTGTTTAGATTTGTCAGATTGCACCTTAACATTCAACTTTCCTTGTGAGAATGTGCATTCAGTACCAAAAAATGAATAAGTGATTCCCAATTAGTTCGAAAGAATCAATAATACCAGTTGGAAGGTATGAGACCGTTAAGAACGTTAAAGATTTTACTAACCACTATTTTTCAACACATAAAAGAAACAATGTAAGATAGTTTTTTTACCGGGTGATAATATCCCCAGATGAACCCATTATATATATAATATCCCCATTATTCTAGCAGAAACTTTGATCTGCTGATACTGTGTTTAAGTATCTTCTCAAATATAAAGTGTCTTCCTTTTCCTCAAAAAACAGAGGCACCATCTACTGTCTGCTTCTGTCGAGTGCCTGCTCATGTCTCTTTCTCAAGTAAATGTTTGTCTTAGAATCTAAACACGTTTAATGTGTGTTGATGACTTGTTTGAGGTGCAGGGTGTGTAGAGAAAATAGCAAGCATACATTTTGCATATCTGCCCTGAAATTATAATCGGATTCAAATTTCTGCAGTCCTGTTAGGTTCAATTGATAAAAACTATAAAATAAAAATATTGCAAGTTGTGTGAAAAGAAAATGTCATTATGCAACAATTGGTTCATTCAGAAAAAATAATTCAGGCATTTTCATGTTACGTAAGTAACATTAAAAATGTGGTCATTATGCACTTTATGCCAAATTACAATTCCTTGGGTGTCAGTTAGTTAATAACCAAATTAGATAATGCAACCAGCAAATCAACTGTTGTTGTTTCCAGGTCCAAGGAAAACAGTATTTTGGTTAATCCCTGTGGTCCTTCTGGTTCATGTAGTTCTTCTGGTTCTGCTTAATGTATTGGGTACCAGCAGAAGTGATTTTAATTTGAGGTTTTGCTACTATTAATGTTCTCATTTATTTGAAGATAAGAACTTGTAATGTCATTGGAAAGTACCTTGACTTCACATACAAAATATGCATAACACCAACAGACAACCTGACATTACAAAAGAACTGGAGTTTTAGGACTATTGAGCCGATTAATCCATTTTGGATTGATATTTAATGTTTACTGGTAATTGTTTACTGAATTAGATTGCATGCAATCTAATAAAATTGCTTCTGTCGTAACTGGAAATTCATGTGAACAAAATTATACATTAAGGAAAAATAGCTGAGAATATGAAAAAATCTAAAATGCTAAGCATAGACATCAACGTTTTAGCTACTGAAAGCTGTTTGGAAACCTTTGCTTCATGCTTTTTATTTCCTTTCCTCTCAATAAATATCTTGAGCATTTTGTACTTTCATTGAGACAATGTTATGCTACTGTGTAGTCTGCCTTAATAATGTATCATTAAGAAAATGTACTCTGAGGAGCTTATTCCAAACTATCTAAGCGTATTCTTGCTTTGCTACATTTGTCCAGAGTACTACTTTCCAATATCCTCCTCACTGTCTTGTATGTAGCCTTGGTCATAAATTAAGGCTGTAATCTATCAATAGTCATAACCTTAGCTAAAACTTTTTTTTATTTTTTTTTGCATCAAACTCTGGTTTAATGCAAGAAGCCATAGTATTCGTCAAAGTTAAAATTCCAAAAGTAATGCTTAAAGTGGTGTGGCTCTTTCTAATGGGTTAAATAAGCTCTTAATAATTGTAGCTCTAAATAATAATGGTTGCATGATTTACTTTATTTACTTTTTTGAAACTATTTCCAATATTACATGTAATAGATTCACATGCACATTGCAAGTTTAGTCATGTTGTTAAAAGATTGTCTTTTTTCATTCCAGTCCACAAAGAGGAACATCCCAATGCTGTTTGTTCGGGGAGATGGTGTAGTTTTGGTTGCTCCTCCACTCAGAGTTGGTTAGACTCCATGAGTTCTGAAGGAGAATGCACTTAAGATGCAACATAAGAGAGATTTTTGATTTGGACTGTTTACCAATGGAGTTACGTAATTTTATAAAGAAATCTAAGTTAAAAAGGAGACTTAGTCCAGCTCGTCAGTTTTGATGTAAAATACCTTCTTGCTAGCTTAAGAAATTTGCATTTTTTGTATTGTAACTAGAATCTGTAAAGATTTTTTTTTCTCATTAAAAAAAGAAAATAATTTGTGTGGTTTATTCAGTGACATTTGATGGTGTGGTAACCACTTGCTTTTTGAGGTCACATGGAAGGAAATTGTGCATATCCTCAGAGAAAATACATATAGATTTTCTAGGTCAATTTTGTGTGCCTCTGTATTTTTAAATTGTTGTTTTATTTCATATCTGTGCATCAATGGGTGTAGAACCTTGTCAGTTGCCATTGGTGTACAGTTTTTTGGTTTGACCAAAATGCAGGGCTACGATTGGGAGTGAAACAAATGAATAATTGTAATGATGTTTCCTTGGATGAGAACACGTAAATATGCAAAATCTCATGCATCTTCTTTCTTTAAAGGTTGTTTAAAAATGTACAGAGTATATGGAACTGGTTTTGTTTCAGAAAATCTCTGAATCTGATACCAATTTATAAATGCAATTGCAGTCTAAATGTATAAATCAAAGGAAGTCTAGTGATAATCTTCCAGATATGCTATTGTCCTCAAAAGCCAAAGCCCTGAGTATTGGTGTTAATAATGGCCTGCGATCTCAGCTGTGACTCAAGACAGCACCATGATTATAGTTGAATATGCAATGGCAAAATATATACACTTTCAAGGAAGGGTTGGCATAATTAGTTTTATATTGCTGTGCGATAGCAAGTTTCTCAAGACTGGAATTGTTCTTGAGGTCTTTAATAGATGTTCAATGTGGTCTCAGTGTTGATGGTGATTCTGTCCTGGATGTGGTCATGATAAGCTGACATCATTTTGTATGGCCTCTGCAGTTATCTGTCTAAAATATACATCCATTTGCCTGTCCTGGTGAGCAACAGGTGGTGCAAGGTAAGGTGCCAGCATGCCAGTCCATCAGAGGAAAGACTCATTTTCCAGGATGGAAAATCCTAGGAAAACTAGGAAAACGAGTAATTCCCTTACCTGCGTAGCACGAGGTGCCCATTTCCCATACATTAAGGACACAGACCATCAGGTTTTGTAAGTCTATATCTTCAGCTTCTTAAGAACATAGAATTGCTTTAACTTGTCCAATTAAGCAAATCAGTTCAATTAGGGGCTCACAAGAAAAAACAGAATCAGGGGCCTTAAGGACTGGAGTTGTGCACCCCAACTGTATTCCTGAGGGCATTTACCTGAAATCGGTCTAAAGCAAGAGGTTGAAGTGCTCGTGCTCTTTAAAATCACGTCTTTGTAAATCGTCTGCAAATGTCTACATGAAAGACCGTTGCACTTTATGGTTTGACCTTTTAATTTGATCCTCTTGTTTTTTAAATAATAATAAACTTTATTTTATATAGTGCCTTTAAAGGTGGCTTCTCAAAGCGCTTTACAGGATGACAATAAATAAGAATACACAAGATAAAACAATTACAATATATAGAGGAGGCCGTGGGTGGTGGTACTAAGAAAAGCAGAGGGTTGAAGAATGGAACCAGTTAAGTAAAGGCTTTTCTGAAGAAGAGGGTTTTGAGTCTGGATTTGAAGGAGTTTAGAGAAGGTGACTTTCTGATATCCTTGGGCTGAGAGTTCCAGAGCTTGGGGGCATAACAGGAGAAGGCCCTGTCGCCCATACATTGTAGACGGGTTTGGGGGACAGTAAGGAGAGCAGAATTAGAAGGGTGAATGTTGCGAGGTGGGGAGTCAGGCGATAATAGTTCAGACAGGTACTGAGGTGCCAAGCCATGCAGGGCCTCATAGGTGAGCATGAGGATTTTAAAGTCTACACGGAATTTGACCAGAAGCCAGTGCAAGGACTCCAGGATAGGAGTAATATAATAATAATAATAATAATTGCTTACACTTATATAGCGCTTTTCTGGACACTCCACTCAAAGCGCTTTACAGGTAATGGGGACTCCCCTCCACCACCACCAATGTGCAGCATCCACCTGGATGATGCGACGGCAGCCATAGTGCGCCAGAACGCTCACCACACATCAGCTATCAGTGGGGAGGAGAGCAGAGTAATGTAGCCAATTCATAGAGTAATGTGAACACTTGCACTAGACCTGGTCAGGATTCTGGCTGCTGAGTTTTGGACATACTGCAGTTTGTTCAGAGTAGATTTAGATACCCCAGTGAATAGAGCATTACAGTAGTCAATTCAAAAGAACACAAATGTGTTGATCAGCTTTTCAGCCAGTCAGTGATAGCATAGGGCATAGTCTAGGAATATTTCTGAGGTGAAAAAAAAGATGTTTTGACAGTATGCTTCACATGTGGGTCTAATGTTAAGCCAGAATCGAATATAACCCCAAGGTTTTTCATTTTTGATTAAAGTACAGAACCATCTACAGATAGGGTTATAGGACTGGCTTTTTACGAAGTTGATGGGGGGTGCCAATAAGCATGACTTCAGTCTTGTCGCAGTTAAGATGAAGGAAGTTTTGAGTCATCCAAATTTTTATGTCAGAGATGCAATTAGAATAGAGACAGCCACATCAGTGTCAGGTTTGGTATGGATGTATATTTGAGTATCGTCAGCGTAAAAATGAAAGCTGAGGCCATGTGATCTTAAAAGCTGACCAAGTGGAAACATGTTTAAGTTTGCTTTGGCACTTGATCAGTGCTTCGGTCATAATAAAATATTTGCATACCATGTTATTTCATAAGTGCTGAATAAGATACTTCAGTATGTTGAAGGCTTATGTGTATATTTAAAATATGATTTCATTGAGGCAACAGTTTGCTGGAAGCCTGTACTCATCTTGTTTCTATGAGTTTGCATAAGATTTGAACAGAAGGTATGACTTTTCATCTTTTTATCTCTTTATTAACAAGTGTGACAGGAAAATGTGGTAAGCATTGTGCAGAAAAGATTGAGCTTGAATTTTATTTTTTTAAATATGCATCAGTTTTGGGATTATGGAAATTTGTTCCCCAGGTGTGCTATACCTTGTTAATATTTTGTCCATTTTGTCTACAGACAACAACTTGTTTTATTTCTAAATCAGCTTTTTTGACCTTCCCCCCAAGTAGCAATATTTCTAATATGCTTTTGCTGATGTCTAAACGTGTAAAGTCACATTAAAGTTTGTCTTCATTTTAAAAAGGGATGCCGAATGCGTGGCAATTTATACTGATACCAGCAGGTGGCACTGTTGTTGTATTTACAAAGTTGCTTGAATGCTGACAGCAGCTGCACATAGATTGTTTCAGTAATTTTCCATGCCATTGTTCTAGGTACTTGTTTGCACCAGAGTTCATTGCTCCTCTTCATGTGTTGTGCAACAACATCTTACATAACGTACAGGATGGAATTTCACATCTCTGTCAGAATGTGAGTTAAGGTTTTACCACTTAGGTGCAGCAAAGGGCTTTTACCCAATATGTATGTTGAATCCTTAGTAAAGCCAGCTGTAAAGGCTTGCCATGTATGCCCATATTTAGAGCCGTATTATCTAATCTGCAGGAGTACAAATGAGCATTCCAAAATAGGAAAGAAGGTGTGCTTGATAGATGTTTTGAATCATTGTGAGGATCTGAAGGCCTATATAGTCCCTTGGCTTTGGGTTCCAAACAAATGTAGCTATTTGTAGAGAAAATGGCCACAACAGATCCAACTGCAATGTTTCAGACATTTAGAATCATTATGACTAATATTCCACTTCAGGTTTTCTTAAATCTGGCAGATGTAAGTTCTTACATATTGGCTGCTAAGAATTCATTTGATTTCTATTATCTCAAAATCTAACAGAATGGCATGGAACAGATGCATTTATTTTCAGCACTTGGTAAACAAATGAAAGAAACTGTTACACCAGGTGAGTGGAAAATTCTTTGGATATGTTGGATGTGTTGAGGTTATGTGAAGTGCGTCAGTGCTTAACAAATGACACCCTGTTTCTGTTTTAAATAGAAGTTTTCACTAAACTCCACCAGTGGAATAACCTTTAGCTTGCAAACTGTAAGCTGCAGTCTACCCAAGTAAGCATGGTACACTGCATTGGACAGGGGTCACATAATATATGTGGAACAATTAAGAGTTGCCAGTTAACCTGCACATCTATGGACTGTGGGAGAACAACTGGAAAAAATCCACATGGATCTGGTGAGAACCTTCAAACAGCAGGATGCCAGTGCACCATCAAACCTAACATCCAAGGCTAGATGTGAGGCTCCGTAATCTAATTTAAAAGACACTTAAATCAGAATGAACTCTTTCCAATGTTTTTGCGTTCTCTTAGTTGAATCCCAGTAGTTTTTTTCTTGAAGCACTGCTAACAATTCCTCACTTTACCTTATTAATTCCATAGTTTTATGGCTTGTGCAAAAAGAGGTGTATACACCTAGCACCTCGGGGATGATTTAAGTGCTTAGTAGTATTAAATATACAAATACTTGACTCATAATAAACACTTTTCTTATTAATATGCTAACTTTCTGGTGTTTTGGAATTGGTTTTACTACAGGGATGCTGATGTACACTCTTCTCTGAGGATTTTGCTGAGCTAGGCCAGTATAATTTTGCTTTTTCAGTCCTGGTAAGAAAATGGTCCCAGCCACAATGGCTAGGGATTCAACATGAAAACCCAGTAAAATAATTAGGCAGAAGAATCAGTTAACCATGTTAACACCTGAGGTGAATATATGGTAGGGTTCTGCTTGGGTGGAACTGATTTGAGATATGATGTTATATTTGATTAGGGCTCATTTGGACATTCTGTTTCAGAGATAAACACAATATGAGAACACAAGGAAGAAAAAAAAATCATTACAGGCTGCTGATCTTCTGTAATCAGGTATATGCAGTGGAGGATAAGAGTTAAAAGTGAGTTTGAAGAATAAGGTTTTGGAGTGCAGAGTTATTAAGATTTAAATGATGCTCATGGAATTTTGTGTGGCCTGTGGTCTCCAACCATAAAGTATGTGCTCTTGTCCAAAACCACTCTGTAAGAGTAGTGCCATGCCATAAACCTATTTTTTATTGCTTCTTTGTGTACTTCTCAATACCCTGTACTTATTGAATTTCCAGTCCAAAGTACTCAGTTTATGGCCATTTTTTTGGA